GAGGAGGAAGCACTCTGTTGCAGGGTGATCAAAGACATCCTTCAAAAAGCCGGCTGTGTGTTGAGGGCGAGACCTCTCCGAGCCAGGAGAACGTGCATGCTGTTGCATGGGACCACTTCAATCATTCCATGTGCACTTTGTGTTGTCAGAGATCTTGCAGTACATAGCAATGTGTAACAGACATGTGTGTGTAAGTGCTCATCAAACATGTATTCATGTACAGTGTATGTGTTTAAAACAATGTTGTGTGTATGCAGATTGTGACCGGTATAGTGATGCCTGCCGTCAAGTACCTTTCATTCTGGCAGCAGCTAGCGGATTGCAGTCCTGCTCAAGTGGTGAGTGCGATGTGCCTACTGGAAAGCATTTTGCAGCTTCTTGAGACATAGAACGTATTTCCTCTGCAGCGTGTATGGTTGACCAGGTTTACTTGGTCTCATGGCTAACTAGCACCATGGAGCTCTGCTAGCTCTGCTGGATAACTGCTGTGTTGTGATTTCCATACACGGTACGAATACATATACAGTAGAAATGTGATAAGTAATACCTGGTGGGCACCATGGGGTGTGTGCATGTACTTAGTATGTGTAGTACTTCTTACCCCAACATGCTAAATCATGGATAAATCCATCCGTTCCGCGGACAATATCCGCTCTAAGCAAGGGTCTTCCTTATCAGAGTACGTACTGAGCTAGAGTATGTCTGATTAGAGTCCTCGAGTACGTACTGCGAGTACGTACTCGTAGTACGTACTCGCAGTACGTACTACGAGTAAGTGAGTTTCACTGTACGTGTAACGTGTATGCTTTGTTTTTGTCTCTCTCTCTGGTTTTCTCTTAGGTGTGCGTTCTAGAACTAATGGCAAATGTGACTGCCGACATACGCTGTTTCCAAGCCATGCCTCCCGACCAACGCTCCACGCTGTGTCAGCTTGTCCTGTTGGTATGGCGACGCATGACGGAGTTCATCTGCGATGTTAACGTCCTGCCTGAGGTAATGATTTTTTTTGATTTCTCACCAGCCGTGATGGCCATCCTAAGTCATTGGATTCTCCTTTTCTCCCCGCTCCCTCTGCCCCCCCCCCCCCTCTCTCTCTCTATCTCTCTATCTCTCTCTCTCTCTCTCTCTCTCTCTCTCTCTCTCTCTCTCTCTCTCTCTCTCTCTCTGATTCTATAAATTTAGTGCTCCATCCTGACTTGATTATAACTTCCTGTTCCACGGTCCCCTCAAGTATTTTCAATTATTTACCTTGGTAACAGCTACAGGCATGTGATCTCTCACCTCCGTTCAAATTCACATGACCGTTATGTGTGCCTTTGCTGTGTTCATAGGAGACGTCCGTAGCTAGTCATGTTCTCCTGGAGTGGACCGGCCACATGGTATCTATCATGTCGGTGGACGACGTCATGGCGGTATGTTGTACAGTACTAAATGATTTCGATGATAGCTTCGACTACCGGTACTTGTGGTATGACATTCTGTAAAGTGTGTCAAAGGATTTTCTCATACAAGAGACATGGGGAAACTCTGACAAGAAACATGGGGAAACTCTGACTTTGCTTTCTGAAAATGCTATGATGTAGTAGAAAATCACTGGAAGAAAATGGTATCAAAAAAAAATGGTGTCAAAATGGGATCAAACTGGTATCAAAAAATGCCGGAATTTGCGTTAAAGTTCCAGGCAAAGGACTGCCCGTACTTGGCAGGTACCGGTATGCCAACTTGTAGTCACGTGGTGGCCCTTGCTGCACGATTTGAGTGTGGCTGGGCTGTTGGCCAACACCTACCCTGTGTAGAAGAAAGAGATCCATGCTGTTGACGAAGAAGCGTGTGTGTGTATTTGAATGTCTGCCGTAATGTCACACGACATGTACATGTATGTACTGTGTTAATTTATCAGTACTTGGTTGTAACGTTACTGGGAAAGCAACCTTTTTGAAAACGTCAAATGTGTTCAAGCCAAAAGGCAAGAAAGCAAAGTTGTAACATTACTACTTTCTGTGTCTCTCCTGCTACATGTTATTGCTGGTTGCAGCTACTTCAGATTTACCAGGATCATATTGTTGGCTGCTCACACGAGGGCATTGTAGCTGGCCTGCCGCAGCTGTTCTCATGCTGGGGCCGTAGAACAATCCCGGATGGCCAAAAGCAGGTGAGACTATTATCTTGCTTCTTTCAGGATTAATCGTGCAATCCTGTTGCAATTGTGGACATCTTTTTACCCCTCAGCTTCTCAAGATTTCTTGTGCTGCTATGATTGTTGAGTATTGATTCGAATGAATGTGGTCAATTAAAACCGTTTGACCTCTTATGTCTGCCTGACTTTTGGTTTCTCTTATCTGTTTATCTGTCTCGCTGTCTCTGTCTGTTCTCTGTCGTTTTCCGTCTGTTCTCTGTCACTCTGCCTCTGCATGTCCTCTCTGTTGAATGTCTCCATTCTCTTATCTTGCTCTGTCTGCCTCACTCTCTCTCACTCCCCCCCCCCTCTCTCTCTCTCTCTCTCTCTCTCTCTCTCTTTCTCTCTCTCTTTCTCTCTCTCTTTCTCTCTCTCTCTCTCTCTCTCTCTCTCACTCTATCTCTATCACTCTATCTCTATCACTCTATCTCTATCACTCTATCTCTATCACTCTATCTCTATCACTCTATCTCTCTCTCTCTCTCCCCCCCCCTCTCTCTCTCTCCCCCTCTCTCTCTCTCTCCCCCCCCCCCCCCTCTCTCTCTCTCCCCCTCTCTCTCTCTCCCCCCTCCCTCTCTCTCTCTCTCTCTCTCTCTCTCTCTCTCTCTCTCTCTCTCTCTCTCTCTCTCTCCCTCTCCCTCCCTCTCCCTCTCCCTCTCCCTCTCCCCCTCTCTCTCTCTCTCTCTCTCTCTCTCTCTCTCTCTCTCTCTCTCTCTCTCTCTCTCTCTCTCTCTCTCTCTCTCTTCTTTCTTTCTTTCTTTCTCTCTCTCATTCACCTGTGTGTATGTCAGGATGATCTGCTGGACATGATGGGTAGCCTGTGCCAGATTTGCCTCTCACACAGTTCATGGAGAGTTCATCAGAACGCATTGGTGGCCTTCACAGACTTTGCCAAGGTAAACGTGTACTAGTGATGGGGATAGAATCACAGTGCTTCATGAAATTCTTTGCCCTGTCCAGACTTTATACTGATCTGATACGCACTCATTTTGTTGAATTTGGCAGAAATCTGGATTCTTGCCCCCCCCTTGAGGCCTCCCCAACTAGCCGTGATTTTGTATCCCGCGTGCTGTTTGCAGTATACTTGTAGGTTGGTCTACACTAAAAATACTTAAACTATCAACGTAGCATGTACAGTCTGATTACTGGATACTCAACCTGTGGACAGAAGAACTCTGTCATCCTTTGTAGACTCGTCAGCACAGCGCGGGGGGAAGAGGCCGAACCTGGTGGCAATGATGATATTTTCTCAAAGCCAACAACTGGACATGTGCTCGTACTGGCACGGGGCCTGTCGCTGCTGGACCGGAGTAGAGTGGCAATGTGTATGCCACTCTTTTCTCACTCTGTGTTCACTGTGTGTTCACTGTGTGGTGCAGGTTACACCTTATGCGGAAGCGGTTGAGTCCAAGTTCATGCCGGCCGACCTTGGGGACGTTATCGTCGCCTATCTACAGCAAGTAAGATTAGAGTACATGTATACTCAATTATTGTATAGTATTCCACTGTGGATCATGATGAAGTCCACTTTCTCATCTTAGAAGCAGCCTTTCGTGTCCAATGCTGGGCTTTTGCTTTGGTTATTATTTATTAGACTACTGTAAAACCGGGAATTTTCGGTGGTGTGATATTTTCGGTATTTCCCAAAATCAACGGTTCGGTAGTGCGAAAATAATTTCGGTTAACCAGTTTTCCAGATCCAAAAATGCATTTTGCACACTGTGTGGCATGGCATGGTTGAATTTTAGGTCCCGAAAACAAATCTCCGTCGAAAGTGTTAGTTTTTAGTAACTTTTTACAGTAGTTTATTAACTAGTGCTCTACTACCGGTAGTTTCTCAGCAATGATAGGTTGATCCATCAGACAACAGCCTGAAGCTCTGTGTGAATCCGTGGCTTGCTGCATTGTGCTGTTTTATTCCTATCTGTGCGTAGGTGCCACGACATGCTGACCTGGTGCATTACCGCAGTGTAAGTGTGCTGTGACCTGTCTTGCTTGTCTTGTTTGTCTTGTCTGCCTCTAGAGCGTGTGTTGCTCTGCTATTGATAGAGTGTTCGGTGTGCAAAACCTTTCCCGGCTAGCGGCGATGTCCTGAAAGTAGATACCGGATCTGTGTTCTCATGTTCCTGTCTGATACTGTGTAGCCGTGTGCGTTAGAATCAATTCTCTCCCAAGCTATTTCGAGTGTGTATGTTGCTCACTGTTCACTGTGTGTTGGCGTCTCTCTCTCTCTCACTCTTTCTTTTTCTCCTTTTTTCTTTCTCTCTCTCTCTCTCTCTCTCTCTCTCTCTCTCTCTCTCCCTCTCTGACCGGTTGCCTTGCCTTGTCGACTGTGTGCCAATCATTGTGTGTTGACGTTTCCTTGTCTGGTTGTCTTCCACGTGCTCTGCGTAGACTGAAAACCTTCTGGCCGTATTCAAGGAGCGACAGCAGCATCTGGTGAGTCATTTATTTTATGATGTATTTTTTAGTCCTCCCTGGTTGTCACAGATAGTGCGATGTGACAATTCAGTAGCGCCGTTGAAGGGACAATCCACACACATATTGAACAGGGTCAATCGGTGGCTAATATCACCCTTAGCCAGAAATTTCACAGGATTTTGTCCTTGGTAGAGTGGAACCTGCATTCTCAGGGTGGGTTTCCCTGCTAAAATGACTTTTTCATGGTTAGTCCGTGGGCCAAACCTGAAAAAAGGCCTCCTAGAAAAATCTCGTTCCGACTTTTGGGCACCGCAATTTTATTGGCCACGTCTACTCTAGATACCTTACTGAGCAGGATTCCGGTTGTTGTCACTCTGACAACTTTCTGAAAGGTATTCAAAAATCGGCTTTTCCATGTTGAAAATTTCTCTCTCGGCGGCCATTGTTTTGTATGCATTCATCAGTGCATGCACGTTGTGTGTGGTGCTGTGAAATGTGATTATGCACCAGAATAGACGAAAGTACACGAATTCAGTGTTACCTGTCATGTCAAGTCGTGATCTGGTACGATCTGGTACACTGCACACTCTCTGCAGGTGTGCACCCGGACCCACAATTCTTACTCTCTGCACTGCAGCACGGTGCAGGCGTGCACCCACTATACTTGGCATCTTCCTTCTCAGTTTGAACTTTCATTTCGAGATTGGTTTTTGGTTTCAGTTTGTACTAGTATGTCTGTGGTCAAGTAGCACTAGAAGTAAGCGTCGTGATGAGTTTAAAGTGTCTCATTCAAGTTCCGGAGTGCGGTGAGGAGGTGAAGCCCTTCACCCAGACAACGTGGAAGAAGGTGTGTGAAATATGCACTAGTGAAGCTGTTGCCGTAGAAAATTTAGCTGAGTTCAGGGAGTTATGTCGTAGTGATGTTTGGCCTGAAAACGGAGGCTTCCACAGAAAATGTTACCAGAAAATAACGAATATAACCCTCCGACGAAGGCAGAGTACCCCTCATCTAGCCATTCGGAAGAACTGTCTGTGCCGGAGTCGATAGAGCCAGAAGCCAAGCGCCGCCCCAGCACGCGCGCCGCACTAGCCGCGCCCGTCGTAGCTCCAGGCATGAAGGGCTGCATATTTTGTGGGAAGGAGAGACGCCAGCAACCTGGCCGGAAGAATTGAAGTCCAGTCCACAAGCAGGTGTGAATACGCACACGCTGCAGCGAAGCTGTTATGTACATGTTATACGCAGTAAACGTCAGAAAAGACGAAAAGGTCCAAGTTGCAATTGGTCAATCCGTCTCTGGAATGTTTGCGCGCGAGGTTAACTACCATAAACAATGCTACAGGAATTACACGAGAGCTTAGTGCCCCTGTTTGCGAAGCCATGGTGGGGATGCATGCCTATACAGGTTGTGACACAACCAGTGCCTTCAGTGGCAGAGGGAAGAAGCTTGCATTTCAGCTGATCACCAAGCAAACCCCAAAAGGCGAGCTGGCTCGAAAGGCTATGGCAGCACTCAGTGCATCATTTGACGCACTACCAGCTGACATTTTCGCTTGCATCGAGCAGTTCACTTGCGGTATATACGGCTTCAACACCGCCACATCTATCAACGAAGTGCGAGACCAGATGTTCTGCTCTCGCTCGACGCAATCCAGCTCCCTTCCTCCTTGCCAAGATGCGCTGCGCAAGCATGCTGCAAGAGCAAATTACCAGGCCAGTATCTGGCACCGTGCTCTGGAAGCTTCCGCGGATGTCCCACCACCGCATAGCCCTGGTCAAGGGTGGACCATTGATTCTGGCGGTGGTTTGGAAGTGGACTGGCTCAGCTTGGCACCAGCACCATTGAGCCTGATGGAATTTGTTTCATGCGGTTGCACGACAGGCTGCAAGCACGGACATTGCTCCTGCCGGAGACAGCACCTCAATTGCACGGATGCTTGCAAGTGCTCTCACTCGGGCCAGGAGTGTGGGAATGGGCAACCACTGGAGCTTCAAGTAACTGCAGAACTCAGTGAAGACGAGGATGAATAAGAAAAAGAATGCCCATCCTGACAGGTATGTATAATGTGATTGAAGATTGAGTGTTCATTAGAGTTCAGTGATGCACATTGTACAATCATGAACATGTACGTGACTGTACATCATGCCCAATTCAAGTCCTTCTGATGTTTGCCCAGTGTTCAGTATCAATATCACATGTGGACTAAAATCAATGTGGGAGATATAAAAATGCACGGGAATGATCATTGCGATTATTTTTCATTGCCATCGGCTTCAGCCTCATTTCCTCTGTGCTGCGCTGATGAGTCCACAGAGGACGAACTAGTTCTGTCCACACGTTGGGTGATCATTGGAATTGGAATTGTGTATTTTCTGTGACCTGATTATTCTCTACAGGTCGACCTTTTTTGGCAACATAAGTCAGTGTTATGATGACGAAGTCTCCCTCGTACACAGCTGCAACAAACGTAGTCTTCTGGGGTCACGCGGTCCTTCAGGTCTGGTCTGTCAGTGACCTGTGCTGATGGTCACAGTGTTGTGATCCTTTCTCTGGACTTTCAGATTATTCTGCAACCCATATAATAACTATGCAATGCATAAATGCGGCTGTGTGTTCTGCCTTATATCTGTATAATGTACACCATTTTTGTATTGAACGGTCTGAGATATTCTTAGATCAGACATAGTATTCTGCAATGTACAGTACCTGCATGCCACAGCCAGTCCTATTATGACCTGATAAAATGGTATACAATGACTCGAATGATGTTTCGAAGTGGTTACAGTATTGTGCTCGACACACGCGGTCTTCTTGCACACGTCTGTGTACATGAACAATATGGACGTATTGGGCATTTTGTTTTTCTTTATTTTTCATGTTATATCATATTTTTCTCTTTCCAGTTGAATCTGGGAAGGAGGCACTCTGGATATATGACCCTTTGGAAAAATAATAATACCAAAAACATTGTAATTAGCCAGAAAATCCAATTTTAGGTTCTGGTTACCATGGCAACCGGTGCTGATTTGTATTTCACTCGCCGTGCAACCCTTGGACAAATTCAGGAATGACAACAAACGGGTTTTCAATGTATGCCAGTCCATCTATCGACTGGGCCAAAAAAATTGCGGTGCCCTCTTACTCGGAACGAGAATTCACATTTTTGTCACTTGGCCCACAGACTAGGTGTCACTAATGTAGTGTCTATTATGCAGGTGATGTGTGCTATGTGAACAAAGAACTCGGTTCCTGGCTGCCCAGTGCATTTTTCTTGTCAAATTTAAATAAATGACATCTTTAGCTGGTGGAATGTCACTCTCCTCACTTTGAATTTGATATGGAGATATTTTGTGAGATATTTTGTTTTTCAAGTACATACCTGCACTAGGGCAATGATTCTGTGTAGCAATGAGTATTGCCTTAGAATTGCCATCAACCGTGTATTTTAGCAAGGAAACACCCTGGACACCCTGGATATTCACTACTTTGAGGGAAAGATGCAAACGGGTAAAGTCTGAAGAAAAAATTGACTGTCATCACCAGGACTCGAACCAGGGACCGTCTTGGAAGCCAGTGATGCTCTAACCACTGAGCTATGGTGTAGCTGTCATCCCAGCAGACACCATTCAACTTTTTCTTCAGACTAACTCGCGCTTCCTGTGAATCAACACAGACGGGTGGGACGCAGCCTTCACTGTAACCCACGTACTTCATGTAAAAACTAGCATGCGGGAACCCCAAGTCACCCTAAAGGTGCATATTCCACTCAATGGAGAGCAACATCCTTTTTTGGATTCTGGATCAGGGTGAGGTTGGCAATTTTAATGGATCCCTACATCATAACATGTCATGTATTTGATTTTTGGATGGATTGTCCCTTTAGTGGCAACAGTGCCACTTTCACTTGGTTCCCTGTTTGGCGTTTGCATAAATTGCCCTTTTTGGCAGCTATGGTGCCGACGCTTTTGCTGCAATGCCACGAATTCTTGGTTCAAGTCAGAGAGTAGTGAATGGTGTTGCACTACTCTCTGGTCCAGATCGGGTGAGCGTGTTGCATGGATCAAGATTGGGTCTGCTACAGCGAACAGAAAACACGTTCTCGTGAAACAGAGCAGCGCGTCGCCGAGTGCAATTACTTCGACGGCAGTGTACAGTGTCTGTAGTGTACAGTGTCTGTAGTGTGTTCAAGTTTCGCCATTTTTGATCCTTGTCATACATCTTTTATTTTATTTTCAGATGGAGAGGCGACACATGCTGGACCTGCAGACAGAACCATCACAGTTTCTGGTACGCACTTTTGAAGTTACTTGTAGCATCCTGTTTAGTCACCACCATGAACAGTGGCTGTATGAGTGAGCCATATACAGTCATTGTACAGTCAGTGTATGTATGAGCATTAATCGCTCTCATGGGCTGCGGCAATGTTTGTTTTCGGCAAGCCTGTACCGCGCCTGCAGCCGAAATTCACAGGAGGCAGGACGATGGCTTCCTGTTGCAGAAGTCTTGACAGCCTGTACTTTGCACGCAGGCAGGAATTTCCCAACCCGTTTGTGTTTTCTGACGTACGGTATTTGGTGCGAATGGCACACTACTCGGCACTTGCATTGATATGCAAGGAATGTCTAGTTAGGGTGCAAAATCAACAACATTGAATGCAAGGTTATTCCTGTAGCTATGCAAAAGACGTTACTAACGTCTGGCGCTAGCCAGGGTCCACACAGCTTGAATTCCGTGTTTCTTTGTGCCGTCGGCATGCCTGGCGCTATCCCGTACCTTTCTCGCTCCACATATACTGGCATACACAGAGACATAGACAGCAATAGCGACAACACACAAAGTGAAGGGTAGTTGGCCGCAGCCAGATGTGAACCGGATAACGAGTGAGGTATGGAAGCAAGCAAGGACTGAGAACAGAGTGTCTCAGATAGAATAGTCGTGCCAGTGAATAGCAGAAATAGGCCATGATGCAGAACCACTTGGGACCGTCAGATTAATTTTCCTGGACCGAGCCAGCCGGGAAAAAACCCTCGCGCCGACGGACGCATTTGTGAGGGAAAAAACCGGGTGTATATCCCCAATGGCGATTAGGCATCATGTAGGCATGGCAAGCACATCACGGCAAACAGTGATAAAAAGCATTGATAATATGCACAGAAATAAAGGGTGGGAGGGCAGGGACACTGGTGAGACTCAAAACTGACTGAAGAAGTCGGGAAAAGAAGCGACAACAAAGAACACACCAGATGCCATATTTGCAACTGAAAATATTTCGCGAGAAATCATTTCTCGCCTATCTCGCTGTGCTCGGCCGGCGAGAAATACAACGTCCCGTACCGTACTATCAAAGACAGCTGGCCACAATATTCAAATAGGGCTTTCAAATGCAAGATCATAACGTGAAGCAACTTGGAAGAATGAGTATGTATGCGAAGTGTATCGGGGGAATGCATGCAGGGCGATAGTGCGGGTTTGAATCGCAGGCTATGTCTTGAAAAAAAATAGGAGAAATGAAAAATTTATAACATCCCTATGCTTTTTTTTGCCTAGGTCATCAAGGTGGTAGACGGTGTCGTATTACCCTCGAATGCAAAGAGAAAGTTTATTTCTTTCGCTCAGTGCCCTACGCTATGCTTTTTTGCCTTCGTTGTAGCTCATCATGCATGTTATTCGAACAGATGGAAACTTTTTGCAATACAATAATGTAGCCGATCAGTTCGTTGTGGTATGGTTGGGCATTGTAGCCGTCAAAGCATAGCGCAGGGCCCTGAGCTTCCAAGCTCTCTCGTTGGTAGTAACGTCATCCGCTACTCACTTTATCTAAATAGCCACATGGGCATCGAGTTTGGGGCCGAAACGTTAACCGAATGCTTACACTACTTTACAAGCAAGGTCCAATGTTCGAGTCCTGGTGGGGCTGTTATTTTCTTCTCGCTTTTCTGCCAGTTCACTTCCCTGACTGCTGACATTGGATTCGAAGTTCTCCCATTCCCAAACTTGAGAATTGTTTCGTTTCATTTAGTATTAGGCCCTGTTTTCACTGGCAGTGGCATGACCTTTGAATTGTTTGTAGCATCACTGTAGGAAAAAAACGGGCTGTAGTTTTATGTGACAGGTTTGTATTGTGCACTTCTGGTCTTGAAAATGCTGAATTTTCTTTTTGTGCATTTATTGTCCTCTGCCGTCTGCCGCTAGGCTTTAAAGGCCGCTCTGCAGAATCTCAGTTCTAACCTGGGGGTCGTGTCACACTTCCTCGATTCAACAGGTGAACCACTCCCCGACTGGCTCTCCCCACAGCTCACTGCCGCACACGATAGCACAAAGCTTCTCATCGAGAAGGTTGCCAGTATCCGAGAGTGTGCTGCAGTTGGATCGCAACTTGTTCTTGACAGCGAGGGAGAGAGCGATGGATAAATTACGTACAATTCACGGATGTTAAATCACGGAGAGAATGAAACACCTATTAAAGTGACATATACAACATAAAACCATTCAAACATTTGTTTGTGTTTCTGAAAATATGTACAAATTTTCATAACAAGTTCATTAAAATCACAGCTACTAATGTGTGTGTATCATAAAACTGTATACATTTCATGTGAGATTCTTCATGCAAAGATATATTCCAATGTACAAACACGTATATAACGCTGAGTATTTTTCTTGATGGTGTGAGTGTGTTGTGTGTGACTCATGTAGCAGAAGTATGTATACCTAGGGCTAGAAGGGGAAGAAGGAGTGCTATGACCAAACAAATGGGGCACGTTCACGTAAGAGCTGAGGGCCAAATCGCAGCCATTCGTGCGCTCGGATCCACAATTCCTGCGTGTTGTCCAAAAAGCTCAGCACAGCACCACCTTTCCAGCAAATGAAGCGAGCATCTTGATCCTAGTCACCACAACAGTGAACGAAAAGAAAGCATAGCAAAACAATTGTTGTGACCGAGATAGACAAGAGATCCACAGTAAAAGTAAAATACAGGTTGTAAGTGAAATACGACACTTGCCAATGCTTTAAGAGAAATTGTACGAAAAAGCCACGTTGCATCCTAAACAGGTCACACATCAGGAGTATCGTCACCATCCAGTGCCCAGTAGTCTCAGGGCGCACTATGGAATCACTCCGGTGCACCTGTCCTCGAGTGCTACACATTCTGTTATGAGTGCGAGTACTACGACAAACCAATACAAGTTGTATGTGAGACATCTGTACCTTGGCCGTAGTCTTTTGTTCCTGTGGAGCACTCGGTTTGCAACCAAGCCGAGGCCCTATGGTCGGCAAAGATGCCCCTGTCTCTCCCCCACTCCTGTCATTCCGTACGTCCCATCACTGCCTTACTGCTTTGTGCCATCAAATGGTGTGTGGTTATTTGCAGAAAAATAAATGAATACTTGCAGGTATTAAACTAGTACTAAAAACTCTGTGCAGGGCTGCACATTGTATGGTGTGCGATCCTTTATGGCAAGTGTCAGAGGACTTCACATGCCACAACTGTACCAACAATATTAACACTTTAGTTCTACGCTCGGTTTGGTGTATCAGTGACCATGCATGCCCATGTACTCGGTGCAACACGTGTCACACTTGCCGGTAGCAAGCACCACCGAGATGTGAGCGAGGTGTTGAACAGGAGTGGAGGGTGGCGGCATGCTATTAGCACGTACTGCACACAGAGGAAACACAGCTGCAGGGGGCTTTAGCGCTCACTAGTAGTACTCACCTTTGGATTAGCTATGACATCCACCTGTGTGTTGGGCATGCGTGGGATAACGTAGGGCAGCTTGATCTGCAGGCGGGCTCGTAAGGTGTTTGCCATACCGGCCACCATGGAACTACCACCGACTAGTAAGATGCTTTGTAGCATACGCCTCTTCAGCTCATCAGAATCTGTCAGACACATGCACACACACGCACGCACACACACACACACACACACACACACACACACACACACACACACACACACACACACACAACAGATTAAATTTTAGCGAGGAAGGATGGGCAACCTGCTCCAGAGCTGAGATGGTGCCAGGAGGTCAGATCAGCATGCACCCATCTACACATACACAAGCAAATCACACCTTGTCAAAACGAGGGGGCAATTGAGCCATGACAATATCGACCTAAATCATACAAATGTGATGTCCTTGTAGAGGCTAATACCCTATACAAGGTAAATGAACACTTGAAAGCTATGGACAGCACACAAGCAATAACCCATTCAAGGCCACCAGCAGATGTATACAGCGTGTCTCTATCTTACAACCGAGGTCTATGTGTGATCACACAAACTTACGACAAGATTCTATACTGGCTAGGATTAGATTGTCTAGTCCTATTAGTTCATTGTCTGCCAGCTGTTCCTCCGCACGGATCTTAGCAATGCATGCACGTAGGCTGGCATCAGACTGTGGTACTGCTGCTGATGACATCGCACTGTTGTTGCCACCACCAACACTGTTTCCAGCTGTGCTTGCTGTAAACATAAAACGTACACATACACACACATACACACACACGCAGAGGTATGTTACATATGCTAGTATGTGACAACACGCAAATCAGAGTAATCGGAGAGGTTGCTGAAGCTTTACTTGACACTGCTGCATGTAGCAAGAGTTGGCACTGCTCGCCTTTGGACAGGGATAGTGAGGGAGGTGATCTTTCATAAGCTAGCGAAGAAAGCTCAGCATGTCAAAACCCCACACATACACTCTCACAAACAGAGCCTGCAAGTGGCTTACAGCAATGACCAAAAACCAAAGTTGCTATTCCGAGAAGTCGACGGGTCAGCAACTACAGACACAACAAGTCAGCTTACGGGCAGGGCTAGGTGACATGCGTGGCGAATTGGCAATGTCATTTCCGCTGCCAGCCGCACCGCCGGGAGTTGATAGATTACCCGAAGCACCGCCAGCAGGCTTAGGCTTGGTTGGTACTTTAGCAGCTGGTTGAAGCTGAGACTGTACCTGCCAGCAAAATACACACAGAGTACCACAAGACACATAACACAGAAGAGCAAGGTGAACACTGGGCCATTGCAGACAAGGTAACGTCAGAGCAACCAACAGTACCCATCACAGACTAATGTAATGGGATAGTTGATGAATACTGTACTGATCTTGTTCGCAAGCTCAACCACACACAATTGCCACTCATTACATTATGCCTGGTATCTCTGGTAAACAGCAAAGTGCGTAGGCACCATGCAGCATTGGATTTAGAGAACATTGGCCGCAATGCAAAACACATATCACACACAAACACAGCATATAGTCACCTACAGAGAGAGAGAGAGAGAGAGAGAGAGAGAGAGAGAGAGAGAGAGAGAGAGAGAGAGAGAGAGAGAGAGAGAGAGAGAGAGAGAGAGAGAGAGAGAGAGAGAGAGAGAGAGAGAGAGAGAGAGAGAGAGTTAGAGAGAGTTAGAGAGAGTTAGAGAGAGAGAGAGAGAGAGAGAGAGAGAGAGAGAGAGAGAGAGAGAGAGAGAGAGAGAGAGAGAGAGAGAGAGAGAGAGAGAGAGAGAGAGAGGGAGAGAGAGAGAGAGAGAGGGAGAGAGAGAGAGAGAGAGAGAGAGACACACACACACACACACACACTAGCAATAGGCACGTGAAGGATTCCCAGGGAATACACCCGATAGACTGTACAAACTTACATCAGCAAAGTAGCTGTCTGCGAAAAGATCCTCGGGATCATGCGGCGTTGCTGGCGAAAAATGTATGGTCTGGTACGGTGCCAATCCCATCATAGATGGATAAAACAGTCCCTGAACACAGGCAGACACAAGCATACAAGGTACAACAAATATAATTTTTTTAAACTGTACAAGTACGATCAGTGATGGAGAGATTACGGAGCATTTGGTCAGATTACACAGCAATATGACTCTCACCCTACCCAGCTGCTGCATATGCAGCACAATGCACTCACCAGAGCTGCCTTGAATCCCTCATCAGCACACTTCAAGGTAAACATCTTGATCTGCTTCCCAGGTTGGTGTACCTCAAACTCATGACTCACGAGACCATGGATATCCTAATTTTTTGTCAAACAAAAGAAAACAGGGAAAGCAACAGAACAGGCCCACAGAAAACAAAATTTAGCAAAAGAGGACCGGAAGGTTGCCCAAGGTGCTCTGTTCATACCAAGTCCAGCAGGGAACTACTGGAACCACTCTGGGGAGTACCAATACATCACAACAACTACTGCTGCTGCTGCTGGTGATGTCACGGTTACCTTTGTACTTTGAAGTACCCAAACACACTGGCTGGTAAATCATGCATCCACAGCAACACAATCACAACACAAAGCACACAATGCACGCTAGTCATGCAACAGCAACTAAACGCACCCACAAGAAAGAGCTCCACTAATACATAAGCAATACTCAGAATTAGTATACACCATGGTGACCATGGTGACAGCCACATCGCACCACATGTTACACAGAAGAAGTATACCATGGCGTGCCTCAGTGACAGCCACACCAGTATTCTACTGTCATACTCACAACAACAACATTCATGCTTACATATTCACATCATGTGCTTTAGCTTTGGCATGTGACAGACACAGTATGTTTCTACGTATTGCCCATACTGAACTGCTACTCCGTGTGAATCCTGATCAGGAGTTAGTTTGTCCCGGTTTCTATTACTCTTCCACAATGCCTTTAGATGGATTTGCTCATTCATTTTGGGCCTTTCGCTCTCCCTTATTCTCCGTATATGGATATACGACAAGTTGGAGGTCAAAATACATGCACCCCCCCCCCCCCCCTTAGCACCTGCAGCTTATGACTGCATTGTAATGCTAGATTCATACTGAAGTGAGAATAGTCTCATATGCCTTTAATAGCAATCTTACCGGGTCCATGTGACACAAGCTCTCCTTGAGCTGGGTCAGAAGAATACCGTCCAGGCGGCCATGAGGGTTGATCTTCTTGTATGGAAACTTGATCTGTAGCATTCAGTGAAGGAAAGCAAGATAACACTAATGCATTTACGTATACTGGCAAGTACATGTACACCCATTCACACCCACACCTTGATGTTTTACTTCAGAAGTAGCTACAAGCTGATATTCAGTAAAAGTGACACATGTGTAGTTTGTGTACGTGTACTCATATTTTGCTGTCTCTTCTGGGATGACAGCTACGGCACAGCTCAGTGGTTAGAGCATCGCTGGCCTCAGGCAAATGTCCCCGGTTCGAATCCTGGTGGTGACAGTAAAGTTTTCTTCAGACTTCCCATTTGCACCTTTCCCTCAAACCAATGAATACTTGGTGCCAGCACCAAGGTTGACACCATAGCGATGTTGCTCACCAAGGTTGACACCATACTGTAAGACCAGTAATATTAACGAACATTTAATGCTAATGATTTAACGAATATAAAAAATTCGTTAACATTTTAAGTCGATATGTACATGTACAGTCATTTGCCGGTTTTAAGACGGAATTCGTTAGAATTTCACCTCGCTGACGCACAAAAATCCGAAGATCGTTAACTTTAATTGACGCTAAAATATTTGGTCTTACAGTAGCTATGTTGCCAGTGCCAAGGTTGACACCATAGCTACGTTGCTCACCAAGGTGGCACGGCATACCTACAATGTACAAGTAGGTATTCTGTCGTATCAGACACGATTCAAGAGTCTGGGTCCAGGTTTGAAAAGACCAGAATGAGTGGAATGGATAGAATTGCGAGTAGTCAAACGCGGCCATTGGGAGATCCACTTTTAATAGGACAAAGGGGGAGAACTATTTCCATTTCATTGGCGCCCAACGTGGGCTCGATCAAGACTTCTACTTGACCTCAAGTAGTCGAATAATTTGTGCTCGCCGTTTAGATTTTTTTTAAATTCTTTTCTGCGTCTGCGTTTGGCGACTTCGTTACTGGCGTGCTTGGAGATGCGGAGACGGTGGTCGTCAGTCCACACGCTGCTATACGTTTGTGTGAGAGAACTCACTTCGCGCCGTCAACCAGGCGCGCTTCTAATCGGCGATGATGCGGGTGGTCGTTCGTTGCAGTCCACACCATACTCCGGGTGAGTCGCTCCCAGTTGTGTGTTTTGTTGTTGTTGTTGTTAATTCGTTATGGTCCCGTCGCCTCACGTGGTAGAGCCTGAGCATCATGTTGACATACTTGGGGTGGTGCCTCTTGCGCTTTATCTTTTCGCGCTATCGTTCCTAGACCATCAGTCTTTGTGACGGCGAGCTGGTTCTTGTGTCTTTCCTTTTGGTTTTTGCAGTCAGTGAGCGCATATTTGCTATGGTTTGTACTGGCCCAGTTTTCTTGGTTAGGGGATACACTTGGTTTCATCGCTGGGGTAGTCTTTCAGTGAGCGTTTTGTCGTTTTTGTGTCCACTGGCGGGTCTCTCCAGTTCGCCGTGGTGGGCGTCCGATCATGGTGAGCCACGGACTACCCGGTGAGCTGCGGGATCCCTGCGTTGTACTGGTTCACCTTTCGGGTGCTTTTTAGCTGGCGGTACCGACTTGTGCCGGCCAGGGTGGGTAACTTGATGGGTTTTGGCAGGCAGCGGTCCCTGCGTTTTAGAGTCCCTGTTTTCTCCATTTATATTATTTGCGTATGGGTGACCAGTTGTTTGTTTTGTTACTGCTGTCCTCACCATGTACTGATGCTGCTTTACCTGTGTTTCTTTTTTGCCCTGCTTGGCGCACCATACTTGGAACAACAACCGACTGGCCAAGCCGTACAAGGTTGCCATACGCGGATATCCACAAGATCCTGCACCCGTGAAGGCTTCCTCTTCCAACTCGGATCACACATCTCTGGCCACAGCATTCCGATGTCTTATATCTTGTCGTTTGGTTGTGTTTTCCCTTGTTTCTTTTCCCTGAGTCGAGGTCGACTCTCCACAAAGGGGAGGGCTATGTTGCGAAATTGTATTACGAGTATGATTTACGCATGTTGTAGTATTTGGTTCTTGTCTCGTAGAGTCCAGTGTCTGATGTCATACACGGTCTAAGTGTACGTGCGAGTATGATGTGAGGTGTGACGTTTATGGTATGTGGTGTATGCTAGAGTACGCGTTGTCAGAGTGTGAGAATCTGCTTCCGTCTGTGTGAGAGTGGTTATCAAGTGAATGCTGTACATGCGCAGTGCTAGTTTGGTCTGGGAATGAGAGTCATGTGTGATTCGTCCGTGGTCTGGTTGTCTTGGTCTTGGCCATGTGTTCTGTACGTATTAGTCCCTGATTGAAAGAGAGAGCGAGAGAGAGCGAGAGAGAGAGAGAGAGAGAGAGAGAGAGAGAGAAAGCGAGAGAGAGCGAGAGCGAGAGAGAGAGAGAGAGAGAGAGAGAGAGAGAGAGAGAGAGAGAGAGAGAGAGAGAGAGAGAGAGAGAGAGGCATACCATCTATCCAGAAATACATGACAGCTACCTTTTCAAGAATCCACGAAAAGCACCGTGTAATGTCTCGACCACCATAATCTGCACGCAAGCTGCAGTGGCAAAGAGAAGAGATGAAGAGCAAACCAAGTCCACAACCTTGCCTCCACTCCTACTCACCTCCCACAAGCACTTGTAAAGCCGAATATCATATACATGGCCAGCAGTACATAACGTGTGGAACTATACAAATAATTTGGAGGCGGTCAAGAACACCTCCACCACCACCATGCATGCTCCCGATTCACAAAAAAAACTATTTTCTAAATGTTCTCAGTGCTGTTGTTGGTAGTATTACACAAAGCATCGAAGCACCAAAGCAGGTTCGGAGCACATACATACCGTGTGTTCTGTAGAGACAAGCCTTCATCAATGCAGGATACACTGATTGTCTGATCACCAATGTCTACAACACATGAACTGCTGAGGCCAGCACCGTAAGTAGCACACACTGACTCCTGGTCAACCACAGCAAACATACATACATACACGCAAGCAAGAGAAAGCAAACACATGAGTATACATGCAGCCCTAAAGGAAACCAAGCATAACCATATGCACCACCATACACAATGATACACACATGTACACACGCATGCCTGCACACACACACACGCACACACGAACAGACACATACGCACACACACATACACAAAAGCACACACACACGCACACACACACACACACACACAAACACACACACACACAACAGCTTGTACACAAAACCACCGTACATAGCAACAGCATGATCTTCCAGAACAACAGCAGGCTGAGCTGAAGTCAAATACAGTATCGACAACATTCACATGAGAACTGATTTGACTGCTCCTCCTCGCTCTGTACTCACCTGGTGTACAATGACAGCTTCAAATCCCATGCGGATGATGATGAGAGAAATGAGCTCCTTGACGAAGCGATGTTCAAATATATCGGCAATCAGGACAACAACGCTGTAATCCTGAGAATCACACCATCACCGTCACAAGCAAAAACAAAAAAATAACGAAAAAGCAAAGGTACTTGTCCCAGATGAGAGAGAGAGATGTATAGACACTGAGACAAGCAGGAAGAAAGTGTGCGCGTGCGCGCGCGTGTGTGTGTGTCACACACGAGAGAGAAAACACTGAGCTACACAAATAACACTCCTTCTCCAGTCAAAGGACCAAGGAACTACAAGTTACGCTATACTGTCCACTAATACCACTAGTTACTAAACAGTCAGCTCATGCGATAACATTGCACGACACTGACCGACGGTACTGACGTTCTACAACTAACTGGCTAACAGCTCTAGCACATCTTGGATGCGCACTCCAACAGCCTTCCAACTTGGAAGTGTCGTGCAATGTTATAGCATGAGCTGATTGTTTAGTAACTGGTCGTGTTAGTGGACAGTATAGCGTAACTTGTAGTTCCTTGGTCATTTCTCTTTTGTATAAATTAAGCGTTGGCTCTCCATCCGAGTCCATTCTCCAGTCACACCATCAATTTAGCCTCGGATCATATTTCATTTATTTCGCACATTTTGCTTCAGCGCCTCAAGCCTTACACACACAGCGTACACAGTGACACATGAGAGGAATGAAGACTGAAAGCTTACACGAAACTCTTCAGGTGGTATCTCTAAGTATTGTTCAATAGCAGAGCCCCACAGTTTCTCCAGATCATTGAAGATACTCTCCAGAGTGTATTGAGCCGGATAGCCACTGTCACTATTCACATTGAAGTCACTGAAGCGCATCGGCCAGTGAAGGTCGTACGGCGAGCTTGGCTGTACATGCAATGCCTGTGACACACACACACACACACCATACACACATGCACACACACACACACACACGCACACATGCACACACATGCACGCACACACACACACACACACACACACACACACACACACACACACACACACACACACACACACACACACATGCAGAACCACCATGCACAATTATGTACGTCTGTCGCAACAAAAGCATGCACACGATCTGAATGAAACAGAACAAGACTTCAGCTGGCGAATGTGAATCGACCCCCAATGTACACCTGGTCTATACTACATGGTGTGCATCGGAACACAATGGCCAAGACAACTACCTATGCACAACCTATGCCTGCTGGGGTACTAGCATCCAGTTTAGACAGCATGCTGGTGCCCTGAAATGAAGTTGGAGTTATTTTACCAATCAGCCCCGACAACTGAGTATTGGGAACTCAGAGCCAATACACTAACAACCTCATACACGCACATACACGTTTACACACATATACTTATACACTCTTCCATACACGCACACACATTTACACCAGTGACCATAAATACCAATAAAAATCCTGTCCAGCCGGAATGGTCAAAGAGCTCAACGCAAAGAAGGCCTAGACGCCAGTCCCAAGTCGAAAGAAAGTACGCAGTGAGCTCCCAGCCCCTAACCTACAAATGATAAGCTCCCAGCCCCTAACCTACAAATGATAAGCTCCCAGCCCCTAATCTACAAATGATAAGCTCCCAGCCCCTAACCTATAAATGATAACCCAACCACAAGATCAGAGGCAAACCCTCTACTGTCTACACCATGCCAAACAAACCAACTATAGCTCACCTCATCACCGATGACAAAGGCCGGCCTGGCACTGACATCTGTCCATGCAACGGAGTCCTCTCTCAGCACCATCCCAGGGCAAGCTTCATTAGTAGAGATCAGCTACAGCACACAGACAAGATGACGGGTAAGCACAGCCCCAATACAGTGCTGGCCACTTGCTTACAGAGCAACAGCATATACATGTAGAACTGAAAACGATTAGCAGCCACGTGAATAAGCAACATCGGTTGGAAAGACACATATGATGGGAGTGGTTATATAACTACTCCCATCATATATATATTATCAAGAGTACATAAACCAGAGTGTGCAACTCGGGATGGTTCCTGTGGGAGCGTAATTCGTGCACTACGTCATTTCTGACGGCATGGTAAGCCACAGGTATGGTGAAAAGTTGCGTAACCAGTCGCGGTGGTGCAGGTCACTGAGTTTGCCCTGATTTCGGTTTTTTGAGACGGATAGCCTGGTGACTTTACTTGTCGGTGGATGTACGCAGCGTACGTACACAGTCACACAAAACACCGAAATCCTGAAACTGGACGTCTAAAATCAAGCAAACTTGGCTGATTTCCGGGCTATGAAACATGAAAATTTGAGCTGTACGCAAGTCGCGGCTTGGCTGACCTCATCAGGGTGACGTAGTGCACGAACTGCGCTGTTTCAGATCTGATATGCACAGTTGCACACTCTGGTTTATGTACTCTTGATATTATGTAGCACTCAGTAGTCCATCAGCTCTCTATATGTGTTCACTCCTCTGTCTGTCATCACCTGGTTACTTCGTGCCTATATGGCTTTACTGCGACTTTCTCTATATAACTCCAGGTCATTCTCTTTATAGCTCCTGACGCGACTTTCCCTATATATCTCCACTCGGGTCGAGACTTTCTCTGTATGACTCCAACTCAGGTTTTGTATGGAGAAGTTGGCAATCCGAGTTGGAGTCATACAGAGAAAGGCTCAGCCTGAGTGGAGATATATAGGGAAAGTCGCGTCTGGAGCTATATAGAGAATGACCTGAGTTATATAGAGAAAGTCGCAGTGAAGCCATATAGGCACGAAGTAAACAAGTGATGCCATATAGAGACAGTGACGACAAATAGAGAAATGATGCCATACTGAGTGTAACATATAAAAGGCAATCACCAGACACAAGAAAAGATTGGAGAAAGCATACATCAACGTGCAGAAGTGAATACATTCAAAGACCTTGACAGAGTCAGCCCCCACCATCCCTACCCCGGCCTGTACTTGTATCAGCATACAGTATGGCATACATGCCAACATTCGCAAACCTCAGATGGGGACAATGCCATACTAGTAGCTACAGGCTACATATACAATGTAGGTATGAACATGTATACAAACGTAGCTGTGTGGCATGTGACACATGCACTTCTGGGTGCCTATTACCACCCTCCATATCAGGAGGATCCCGGCCAAATCGGGATAGTTGGTAGGTTTGGTATGGTATGCAGCACATACCTGAGACGCAGGCACTTGCTGACGCCGTGCACCGGCATTAGTGCGCAGTGACTTGACAAGCTGGTGTACAGACTGGTATACCTCGTCCTGTTTACTACTCTCATCCTCCTAACATGGATACACACACACACACACACACACACACACACACACACACGCACACACACACACACACACACACACACACACACTCACACACACCCAGGGAAGCAAGCATGAAGAAACACACACCCTATTACTACAAAACTTTTAAAAGAATCTACGAAGTTGGCTTAGAAAACGCTGAGTTACCTGGCAAGTTGTTACCGTACGTCAGCGCCGTTAAAGCCAAGGCCTTATATTCGAAACACTGCTGCTTTCCTAGCTATGTTAGATGCAAAATGACTCACCCACTACGCCATGCCGTAAAAGTCAGTCCACACAGAAATTTCAATTTAAATCCACTCGTTCACCCTTCCTGTGGGGCTGTAAGTTTGTTAGTACACTATTTACTCCTTCATTTTTACAAAGCATACTTCAAATGTCATTTCATTTATGAAGTCCATGGCTTTATAACTGAGGCTGGCTTTATAATCGAATATACCTCCATGGCTTTAAAGGTGCGGACATACGGTAACAAGAAGGGAGCAGCAGGATCCAACCTCAGTGGCACAGTCACAAACAAAAATTTCACAGAGCAGAAGATAATTTTGCCACAACGTTACTCACCGAGACTTCTCTGCTGATTCCAATGACATCGTCTGGTACGCGGTCTTCATCATTCGCAGTGTCAGTGCGACGAATAGCAATCACCTGAGCGTGACCAATGTTAAACAGCATTCAAAAAAAAATCAAGGAATGAGTACTACTACATGTAGTATAGAACAGTAAGGCTCAATAAGCACTGAAGTGTACTGCACAGTAGTCTTGCATAGAAGTCACAGCGCGTGTGCATTGTGGGAGAATTTCCCGGGCTTGTACGAGAAAAAAACATGCTTCTATACGAGATTGGAATTTGGAACAAGCCAAAGAGGTGACCTGCGGCTGCCCCTGAGAACAGATGAGCACCACATCCCAGCAAGTACATGACATTGTACAGTACATTGTAGTTGTAAATGCCACCAAGGTATTCCAGTGCCATGAGCTCCTGCCTGGCATGCCAGAGCACAGAACACACAGACTTACGTGAGGGATACTGCGCGGGAACGGGTCAAGTTGCTTGCCAAGCCGCAAGAATGCAGAGCCAGGGTGAAGGATGATCACCTTAGCACCGTTATCCATTGCCTACACCGGCACCAGTGCACAAAGATTGAAAATAAAATTTAAAAAATTGCACAGGTTCGCGTACAGGGCGTGCACCGAGATAAACATACACAAAACGTTACCATGGTTATGCTCTGGCCTAGTTTCTCGCGATCATAGTACGCCACAGTGGGTCAAATACGGCACTGCATGGCCATGGGATGTTTTAACAACATCTACAGGATCAGTGTTCATGAGCATCCAGCTCTTCCAGTTTTCCTGTTTGTCCTACAGCGGGCCCAAGTCCACAACCAAGGAGCAAACGCTAAATTCGCTTGTCAAGAGACCATGTTCAACCATTTAAAGTTTTAAACTGCAATGTAGCATGCAAGTAAGTTGATGAACACTGGAAGCTGCATGGCCACAGTCAAGACACACATGCTGCATGCCAACACTCCAGTCGAGCTCCCACACACTGTACGAAAACAAAATTTCAAACACTCCATCACAGCTCGTTTCTGGCTTTAATTTCGTCATGAAACCTCTCTGTTGAAACTAAATTAAATAGTTGCTGAAAGCTTTAACAGTATGCTAAAACGAATGGAATGTTCATACAGTAAAGTAACTACATGTATATTGTAGTTGGGCAAGGTGAAATCTGACCCAACGTGCAAAGCCCTGGATCAGTTCACATTATATCACTATATTTGTTGAGGTACAATTATACAACATCAAGCAGTACTTTTCATACCACCTCCACAGTGTCAAGGGCGAGCAAGCCAGGGGCGCTAAATACTAAAATAGTAAAGATGCACTTTTGGTCAGCCGATAATTTTCACCCAACACAGTTATAGTTGGATGTTGACGGCCGGCAATGCTATTTTGGTCAACTTTGATTTCTCTGCTGAATAATGGTATACAATGGTGTACTGGTATTCAATTCGCAGTGAGATGAACCTACTTAACAAGACGGTTGTCGACTTGAATAACAGGACTTCTCATTACTGAACGTACCAAGTCAATTATTGTGTACATGCAGTCACTCTAAACGCATGACCCTGTTTTAACGGTGAGTACGAGTGTGAAGAAATTATCCCAAGCTGCATCTACTTCTAGATTTATAAAGGTCTACGGGCAGTGCTTCTCCTAACCTGCTCATACTCAGGGGCTGCAGTTACGGTCGCTGGGCCCGCTTGGGCAGGTGCCTTCTTCTCTCCTTTCTTCGGCATCGTTGCACGTTGAACACTGGTACGGAGCGGGCCTCAATAACGATGATCTACATCCTCTGAAACCTCTTCTAATGTCGGTAGAATTAGTGCTATCTGCTGTTTGCAAGGTGCTTGTGTTGAGTCAAGTATTAATCTAAATTGATTCAAAGCTCAACAATATTGAAAGGGCCAGAACAACAACTCAAGCCCAGCGCCACAAATCCGTTCGCGAGTTCACACGATGCCTGCCACAACTGAATCAAAGCAACACGCCTGCCACCCTGGTTCACGCACTAGTAAGTGTAGTGGTAGATCGATGGAAGAGAGATAAATATTCCCACTTCGAAAATATTGTAGATGCGATCGTGAGTGCAAGTGGTTGCATGCATAGCTTTCACAGAATCACAGGCACAGAGCAGAGATGACCTTCTTGACTTTTTTGAGTTTTGAACTGTGTAGTGCGAGATAAATAAAGCGAAGAAGGGACGCTTTCAGTCGCCATATCTGTTGTCACGGTAACTCACTTTCGTGCTCGTGACGTATGGTCCAAAGTCCACCGCGTACCAGATACTGCGACCTGCGACGCGCGTACCCGGGTACCCACCCAGTCACCAGGGCCCACTCAGCTGATCACTGGCTGCACTCGTGCTCGCGCGATCGCGTAGTCTGATCTGTGCGCTGAGCTTCCAGATGGCGGACATGACATCCATATGCAAAGCATCCGCGGGGTCATGCGGGATGACGTTTTCGCAATTTCCGCCCAATCAAGGAGAAGAAAAAACGATAATGCGTACATAAGCCATCTCTCTCAGTATATGGATCCGTACGAACACGTAAACCGGTCTACCTCTTCGAAATAATTCCTTTTGCTTTTGCTTTTGCTTCTTGTCATCATAAACTGGTTTCAGTATCTTGAGTAAGCAGAACTTGCTATTAAAAGGCAGTAAGAGTAGGTGATTTCTCAACCTAAGTAGAACTATGGCAGCCCCTCCACAATGGATGCCCGCACCGCAGGTGGACCCCAATTGCCCCAAGGGCTTGGAATATTTGACGCAAATCGACCAATTGGTCGTCAAACAACAGGTTGAGTTGCTTGAGGCCTTCACAGACTACGAGGGTGCCAACAAATACAACATCTTTAATACGTTGGGCCAGCAAGTGTACTTTGCTGCAGAACAGTCCAATTGTTTGGAAAGACAGTGCTGCTTGAACGCCAGGTCCTTCGAGATGCGTATAGTGGATAACCTTCAAGCCGAAGTCATGATAATCAAACGTCCACTGCGCTGTACTTCATCTTGCTACTGCTGTGCATCTTGGAGACAGTTCATGTCAGTGGAGAGTCCACCGGGCAACACAATCGGTTATATCCAAGCTGAACTGTCTTTTGTCAACCCCAGCTTTCTTATCCTAGGACCTAACATGGAACCGCAGCTGAGAATTCAGGCACCATGTTTTGGCCATGGCTGCTGTACATGTGAACCCAAGTACAAGGTCCAAACGCTCGATGAGCAAGAGATTGGCCTGATCCAGAAAAAATGGTCTGGCTTCGCCAAGGAAGCGTTCACGGAGGCCGACAACTTCAGCATCAATTTCCCAATGGATCTGGATGTGAAAGTGAAGGCCGTACTCATGGGTGCATTGTTCATGATCGACTTCCTCTACTTTGAAAAGAGCTCGCATGACGACGATAGTGGTGGCTACTAAGGTCCGCTAGGACAAAGCGGTTGAAACAGATACTGCCTACTGGTCTTGAGCGACTCCCAGTGACCTACCTGTGCCTAGCTAACCCACAGACACGGAACTGACCCACCTAAGCAGACTTGATCCGGCTAACATGAGACCAATGGACTTGGAGTTATAAAGTATACACTGACTTGTTCTCTTATAGATTGTAACAGATAATATTTGCAGACAGGGAGTGAGAAGGATAATCCCCACATCGACTCATCTCCCTGATATCCTCATCCTCCTCCTTCCCCATAGCCCGTGGAAGAATTCCTAGCAGCATAGTGAGATCATCAACGTATCTGTTATGTGTTATGAAGCTTTCATTAAATTTTGGTAACTATTAGGTTTTACAGAGTGTAAATCCGGTGTTGCGTAACCGTCACTAATCCTGAGCCCGCTGTCGATCAGCCACTTCTTATCTGCTATTCCCATAACGTCATTTTGTTTCCCTTGTCTTAGTTTGCTTGCTTCGTCCATTATTGTTACGAGTAAGTAGATGTGATGTTTAGGAATGATTTCGGTTGCGTAATCAATTATTATTTTCAATAGTCCTCCTCTAATCTCGTCTTCTCTCCTCTCTCTCTCTCTCTCTCTCTCTCTCTCTCTCTCTCTCTCTCTCTCTCTCTCTCTCTCCATTGTTTGTGTGTCTCTTCCTCTACGCTTCTCTTTGTCTTGCTTCTTTTGTCACATTAGATCTCTCAGTGCCGTGTGCTTTGCCCGATCAAACTCTCCTTCCCTCTGTTCCCTCTGACTATTGTTTTTGTCTTACAGTGTTTACTACTACACTGTAGTCTGTACATGTTCATGCCGGGCTGATGAGTGGCGAGGTGCCTGCTCTGTTCGCAGAAGGGTATCTCATGAGGGAATACACACTGGACTGGGGAGTAGCTTTTGCAAGTAAGTAGAATACAGTACTGTCGGTCGCCGAAGAAGGGGGGGGGGGGGGGGTGGTCAGCCTCCTAGCCTGGACCGTTTTTATTTTCATGTACCGTATTTCCCCGAATATGAGTCACACTTTTTTTATCCTTTAACCCTTTACCGTTTTAGGTATTTGTACAGCAAAAACCGACCGTCATTGTTCATGCCGTAACTTTTTTATTTTTCACTTTTATTATGTACAAAATGGGGTGATTCTGAAAGTAAAAACCCTCAGGAATGCGATGCAACAACTTTCAAGTCCAGAAAACGAACACAGATTTCACTATTTAGCACTAATAATTATTTGAATTTATTGCCGATCGGGCAAACTGTTGCAATATGCAATAAATCAGATCCTTGCACTGGAGTGGCTCCCTCAGGTAAGTGGATACTAGGTTCGTTCTCTGGGTGGAATGCAGGAGTGTTACCAGTCACAGCGGTGTCAGCATTGTCCCAAGTATTGCAAATATCGACTAGTGCAGGTTGCACCGCTGGCTGTACATACAATGTAGTACCTGTGCACCACGACCTCTACCGTGACGACGGCCTATTCCACGGCCGAATCCTCTCTCTCTGCCACGTCCCCTTCCACCATTAGTGGCACTCATCTCAGCGACACTGTCGTCGCCTGTGACATCCTTGTCACTCTCACTGGCGCTGCTTTCACTCGCCATGTCATCGTCGCGGTCGTCGTCAGAATAAATATTTTCAACAGGATTGTCTGGCTCCACAAACTCATCTTCGCTGGATGAGGCAGCGACAGAGTCGTCAGGAAGGGTCTCCAGAAGCGAAACAGCTTGCTCCGCGTCCATGGCTTGCACAGCAGGGCAGACAGTCGTGAGGCCAGCTCAAGCAAAAGTCGAAATAATCTGCAGGCAATACCAAAAGTCGCAGGGTACGCACTTTTCCCAAAGCGCATTTTTCAAGTCGCGATTTTCGCGATTTTTTATATTGCATCACACAAAAAAATTGTCGGCACCCTCTGCGCGTACATCTTGGCTACCAGTAGGGAAAATCCCAGCTCTCTGCGGTGAACCAGTCCAGCGCTGTGCGCATAGAAGTCATCGACCGCGAGCGGTCGAAATTTGTACGTACAAACGGTAAAGGGTTAAAGTGGAAACATAAAAACAATATGACATGGACCTGAAAGTAGCGTGTGACTCACAATCAAGCATGACTTACTGTTACAATCGGGGAAACACGGGGCATGTATTACTGTTTGTAGTAAACTCCTGAGCTAGGGTTTACCAACATCTTTATTTACAAGACAAACAACAGAACAGCTAGTAGAAGTCCGAACAAAGAAGTGAGGTGAGTAGAGCTACCACAAGCCACATAGGCCCGAGCCCCCAAGTACTCGTCTGTGTATGGAAGGATGGAAAGTGTGGCGCGTGCGTGGGTACAAAGGGGTGCATTCATGCGTGGTTCATACAGACGTGTGAAAGCAGCACTGCGGAGTTCATGCAGAGGTGTGAAAGCAGCTCTCACGCACAGTTATGAATACAAGAGAGAGACAGAGAGAAAGCTATGTACAGTTATGAGTATCATTACGCTACACTGTTTACAGTCCATGCACAGCTGAGTCACTGTGTATACATGTACATAGGTATGCAGAATGCTGTGCCTGGTGAACTTCAAGGCTGATCATTCTTCGGCACACCGTTCTTCAACGCCTGACTGTAATGTACAATAAACCTGTGACTAACGACCACCCCTTGGGGCCAGAGAAAGCGGTCTTTAGTGGCAGGTGGACCTTGGTTAGAGGTTTGCACCGCAAGTTGATATGTGAATGTGAGACCGTACGTGCCTGGCGCAGTTGTCGGTTGTACCAGGCTGATCGCTAGTCACAGGTTTTACTGTACCAGGCTGGTCGCTAGTCACGGTAGTCTTTAGTTACACGTTTTACTTTTCCTAATTAGTCCTTACTTCCTCCCCCAGGGTGCAATTATTTCCTGGGCTCTCATTATGATTGCTGCAGAAGCAATCCTCGGTTGATTCTAAACCAACCTGTTGGCATACGTTTGTATGCTTGTCTGCTGACGGCTTTTTCGCTGATGCGCATGCAGAAAGTTGAACTGCACTGCTGCGCTGCATCGTCATGCATGCTCACGGCAGTCATCCAGTGAGCTCAACATCCGGCCATGGGCAGTGGTGCAGTGGCCATATGAAAGGAAGGGTCTGTAATGATCAATGTTATTGTGATGCCTGCAACATGATCTTTTAAAACTGGTGGATCTACACGAACACACACACACACACACACACACACACACACACACACACACACACACACACACACACATGTGCTTAGTTCTTTATTGTATTGCCATTGGCGCTTATGTTCGGCCTCACACTTTCATCCGTCTTCCTCCTTTTATACGCAAGTTGCAGTCCTGCCAGATTTACCAACTTCGTGGAACTACATGCCAAACAATAGAGACACGTAGCTCTCCACAGGCATTTCTTCATTGCCCAGAATTGAGATCCTACAACAATGAGTTTTATATCGTGACTTCTAAAAATGCATGTGCTTCCAAAGTAATAATAGTAATGAGTATGATCTAGTTGTGTGATGGTTTGAAGTCAAGTCAGAGATTCAGCTTACATATATTTGGTGAGATCAAGTCTTTGCCGCGCAGGAACACAAACCAGTCATCAACGCAGCACTGCTACAAACTGCTGCTAGTCATCAAGGTCAAATATCAAGGGGTTTCCTAGTTCCAAAGTTGCAGGCAGCCCGTTGTCACTGCTGGCAGTGGGGACTGCTGGACTATCAGGGAATGCAGTGCTATCTGGCTTAGAGTCACTGGGCATCCTCACATTGTCACTACAGTGCAAGCTTTGCATCTCACTATCATCAGCCTGGTCCCGGGCTGTCTGAACCGTTCCGGATGATTGCGATTCCGTTCCCTGCTCTATTTCCGTTCTTGAACTGGGGACGCTCTCTACGATAGCAGATATTGGTAGGGAACCATCCGGCAATTGGCTATCAACCACCTCTGACCGTAGATGCTCGGGCGCAGAACTGCCGTTATCGTTCATACTAGGGTCTGCTTCGGGTTGCTCCCCATCCACCCAGATCCCGGAGTGTGTAGTAGCGTTGGTGTCATGGCCTTGCTCTTCGTTGCTGTTTGAACTTGTTCCGTTCTCCTGTTGATCTGAATGAGCACTGGCAACATTGATTACACCGTCAGTTGGCACTTCCTCAGCACCTGGGACCGGCTGCTTGAAGTCTACAAGCTGTTGCAAAGTAAAGGAAAAAGAAAGAAAAAAGAAGAAGAATTCTTTAGATACTTTCCCTTTTCGCATCCCTCACACTCTAAAGAGTAACAGTACTACTATTCATGAGTTTGAGGGAATGAAGAAGGGAAACATTTTGAAGAAACAATGATGTCGTCACCAGGACTCGAGCCAGGGACCTTCGCTAAAGGTCAGCGATGCTCTAACCACTGAGCTATGGTATAGTAAGAATACGTCTCATGTAATAATTCCAGTGTAGCGGCTTTTCAAACAAGTATTGACTGACCCGGTACTAGCTGAAGGAAACAGACACGAACAATTGCAGAATGAATAAAGTGTGCATGTCTAGCTGTGCATGAGTGAAACGGACTGGGTTGACCCAGCTCCCCGCCACCACCACTACCGCCGCAACCGCAACCACCACCACCGCCACCACCGCCACCACCGCCACCACCACCGCCGCCGCAACCACCGCCGCCGCTGCCACCCCTTCACCGCCACCACCAGACTATGTCGCACCGGGCCTGCAGCAATCCTTTCCACTCGTTCACAGGAAACAAACCGGGCACACTGATGCAGAACACATAACAGATCACTGTCACGTTCCATACCTGTAGTTTATTGCTTGCCGGCCCGACAGCAATGGAAGTCCACAGCACTTGACTCTGCTCTTCTTTTGCAAGCAGAACAAGAATGCCAGCTGAAATGGAGTTCGTTGTGATGACATGGAACAGCTCATCTGCCTTGCAGCTCGCAATGACAACCCGGTAGTGCGTTTGTGTGGCGACTACATCCCAGTCCAGAATTGCCTGCAAAATGAAAAATATACACGTACTTTAAAAAACCAGGGGGATTTTTCTCAACCGTGGATCGCACAGACTTTAGTGGCAGTCCATGGTCAGTAACAGATACCCTGTGGGATTTTCGGACAAAGACAGCGCTCAGCTCAGATGCACATCCAGTCCAGCTCCGATCCAGCCCGGAATGGCTGGGTTGGCTAGATGGTGTTACAAAACCACAAGTTCTCAAGGGTGAAAGGCCTTCCCGCTTGTGATAATTATTGTATTCGTTTCAATGTTGTATCTCGACTCCGCCGTACCGCTGATGTTCACTGCATGGTACACGCTATATGCGCTATGTATGGTTTACTGTATACACTGTCATTGTATGTTATATCATGGGTATGCTTTCATGTACACCGTTTTCATGCTATAAATAGTTGGCGATCTTGGACTTTAGTTATTATGTTCGATCAAGTGAAATAATGTTTTAATTAAGAAGCAATAGTTGTTCTGGTGCCGTGTGGTCGTTGGTTCCTGACAATTTAGAGAATCAGAGGGTTGCAGAGGGTTCACAACAGACGGAGCACTAAACTAATGTGACTCAGTTTAATATTCCCTGTTTGACAATGAGAGCTACAGGGAAGACAGATTTCATATACTTATGTTTTTTTTTTGTTATCAATCCTGCTCACCTTTTCCGTAGTTTCTTGCACATGAAGATTTGTGGGTGAGTCAACATGCCAGAACATACTGATTTCAGACTTGGACTGACTCAGTTCTAGTTCTGGGAGACTCTCACTGCACGCATAGCCAGTACCTGGTGCTGTAGAACCATTGGAGGTAGACTCGTCACGGCCATCATCGCCAACACCGGACTGAAGTCCTTCAGCGGGAGTTGACTCTTCTGCAACATCACACTCCTCCACAGGCTGGCTCTTCTGCATTGCCTGCATATCCGCTGAGCTGAAACTGCCTGAACCGTTGGCTGCTGTTACATCCGTGTCAGTGTGCTCCAGCTTCTCTGCATCAGTGTCTTCCTCTGCTAGATAGTTCAAGTATAGTGGGACGAGGAAAAACCGAACGGAACTGGGATACAGTATCGGATATAATTCTTGTTCACATAAAAAGACTGAAGGCAGGCACTGGATTTGTGTTTCGAAGTCATTAGAACCTCCAACATCATCTGCATAAAGGCCGAGTGTCCTATCCAGCTTCATTCTTCACAATACTAACTATGGCCTACATGTAACTATTACCGACTTGTATGCAGTACAAACTGATGCACATGTACATGTACATTGTATCATGATAGAATACAAAAGACTGCGGCTCAAATGGTACCATGGCAAGTACATGTACATGATTGTATTCAAGATGCCAGACAGAAAGTGAACTATCGCGGCGACAAGTTGCCGGACTAATTGTCACCATGTGCACGCTCTTCCTACCTTCCTTTCCCTCATCCTCATCCTGCTCGGCGGATGTAGTAGTTTGATTGAAACTTGCAGCTGCATGAGAAGCTGGTGGCGGCAGGACATTCAAAGTCACCACTAGCTCTCGCTTTGATTTGTCAAATGTCGCCGAGCCACTCTCCTCATTGACAGCATACGGTAGGGCAATGTGTTCGCGTATTTGTAGTTAAGGTCACCACACAAGTGCCAGGCGTGGCTGATCATGACTAGTAACCAGCAGGCAACATGATATGCAAATTACCCTTGAGACGACCGGCATGGGTCATTTCAATGGACTAAAGTGAATAACATGTATCAACAGACCACTATGCGCAGTTCTCAGCTACTACTTGTACTACTACTTCATAAACATCTGAAAATTAAAAAAAGCGAAGGTGTGTTCAGTGCCACAGTCTAGTTTTCATAGTGCTAGAGCTGCACAGTTCAGGGATTCAGTGCCCGCAGGGTTCTAGCCAAAGGGTGATAAGCCCACCCCTCCCCCCCCCCCCTACTCTGATGGTGCGCCCCCTACTCATTTTTCCATTTGTGTGGTTTTTCGGTCCATACAACGAAAATGCGGCCACAAATCGATCGTCACGGGTGCTCTGTGCACCCGTACGTTGCATTCTGAGGGACAAGGCAATAGTGGAACATAGGAAAAAAATGGGCGAACTATTTGTTTCCCCTGCCTCCCCCCCCCCCCCCACACACATAATGTTTTCCTGGCTAGAACCCTGGATTGATATTATTCATTGGGCCAATATTCGTTCGGAAGATGCCGGGAGTGCCTGCATCTGGCAAGTCCAAATTCGGGGAGCTATACTGGACATGTCAATTAGCATGACTGTGAGGATATCTCCAAATCCACGTCCAGGGACTCGATGGTCAGCAGCACTTCCTTTGACAGTACTTCCAACTCCACACCAGTCATATTGGCCTGCAGAGAGTGAAATGACAATGGTCACAAAGCAAGCCATAGGGACACAATCCTTGTCATTGGATACCTGCTCCCAGATCACTTCATTCACGGTTTAAGATATCTATAAACGTCACACCGTAACAGGGAAAGATGGCCAGGCAAATCCATTCAGTTGCCAAATCCTATAATAGGCTTCTTTCCGGCACCACAGGTCCAGGCATGATGATTAATTAACCTACCATGCACGTGTGCTTCGGTTTCAAAAACACGGAAGGAGATAGTCAAACACACATGTATAGCAGCAATGCTATGTCTGTGCATCAAGTTGTCAGGAAACAAAATACGTCCAAAGGTAAGTCTATTTCCAATTACATGTAGATGCACTTACACACTTCGGCAGAGATATGGTGACGACAAGCTGCTTAGGCCAGCATCCGGGACCAGCGTCTCTGCAAGGGTGGAAAGACACAGCAGATGTCAGTGCCGCTGCAATGCACTGCGACTTTGCATCGACAGCATCACCTATGCTGTACACTGGCCTTCAATGTCCCTCGGGCCCTAAAAATTCCCCGCTTTTCAAACAGAAAGGCTAATCAGTACTAAGTTAGAGCAGTACAGTAGCTGATTGCACTCTTCAAAATTCAAATCAGAAGGTCTATCTCTGCAGTCACACCGCTTACCTGGCCATTCTGAAATCAGAAGGTCTATCTCTGCAGTCACACCGCTTACCTGGCCATTCTGAAATCAGAAGGTCTATCTCTGCAGTCACACCGCTTACCTGGCCATTCTGAAATCAGAAGGTCTATCTCTGCAGTCACACCGCTTACCTGGCCATTCTGAAATCCTGAATATCAAAGTAGCCTCTTTGTACTATTCTGTACTGCGGCTGCGATAGATTCGCTGTTTGCAATTCACTGGGCCTAGAAGGCCTTGAAGATGCTGGAGGTGCTACCGCTTCCTTCCCCTTAGGTGGGGCTGTTGTCGCTGGAGCAGTTCTCCCATTAGATAATAGAGACGATGCTGATGATGGTTGCTTTTCGTCTGCGTCCTTGTAGGGGTACATACTTTCAAGCTTCTTGGAGAAATCGTCAGCCGGCTCAGGCATGTCGCTCGGCTGCAGCAGAGAGACAAGAACAGATGAAAATTACGTACCAATGATCAAAGCAGGTGAAGACTGTCACGCTTGTCTGCTTCTGGTCAATGAAGTTGACGCCTTGGTCACGCGACATTCCACATGACTGGGGATGCCCCAGAGGGAAAGGGGTCACCCGGGACAGTGGCCCGGTTGAATGGTAGAATCGCCGGCCTGAAGAAAAACTGCCAGGTTCAGACTCCAACACCTGACCCAGGTGTTTATAAGTGACTTGCTTCTACTCAAAATACTTCTTCCCGCGGCCTAGGAGTGAAATGTCCTTCTTAGTCTAGGTTCCAGTGATCGTGTCTCCAGGGGCGAGTAACCCGGTCGGGTGCTCGGCTGAGCACGCTCTGCTAGACACCTGCAGGGGACCTGGGTCAGTGTGTCATCCAGGAGCATCTCTGACAAGTCACATTCATGATCTATTCTACTTGCCACTCATCACATGTTTGACTTGACAGTCCTCGCAGCGTCCTCAGCCCTCACAGAGTCCTCAGTCCTCACCTATAAATTAATCCTGCATTGAACTCGTCATGTGATCAGCGATGGATACTCTATACCATTAGCCTGTGGTGACACTGCAGGTACAGCATCATCATCTTGTAACTACAGAAGTATGTGTACTAGGCTCACTAGACCCCTAGCATACATGTATTGTAGCCGGCACAGACAACCCTGTTGGCATGCACGCATCAACAACACATCAAACATTTTCAATTCCTCAGTCAACTGCAGGTCCATTTTACGGGTCATTGAGTGCTTTGGTATTCTTGTCGAGTGGTCTGCTACTCTCTCTCTCTCAGGTGTTGGCAGCACGACCCCGTGTTGCATCAGAACCAGACAGTTCACACTACTCGTACTCATGCTGGCCGGTATCTAAACCAACCTTCGCTCCCGGCTTTCGTAGGACAGATGATTGCGGTTGACCCTTGTATTCGACATGTTTCAGAATACGATAACCTGCATGGGGATAGAGAACAAGAAGATCGAGGAGGAAGAGGAACCAGAGGAGTAATTGAAGAAAAAGAAGAAGCAGAGGTAGAGGAGGAGGGGGAGGAGGAGGAAGAGGAGGAGAAACCAGAGGAGGAAAGGAAGGAAAAAAGGAGGCGGAGGAGGAGGCCCGGGTATGGCAGATGTTGAAACAGTTGATTAGACAACTATGATCTATATCATACTCTTACAACCTAGAACTCCACCGCCCTACCACTACTCCTCTGCCACCGCCACCACCACCACTGCCGCCACCACCGCCACCACCACTGCCACCATATCTGTATCATCATTCTCCTACCCTGTTCGAAGGCACACACCAAGCAATGACAGACTTGTCTGCCATAGAATTGAAGTCCCCACACACTGAAAATACATGTATGATGTCAACAAATACCGGATGATGCAGGCAGCACATGAGAGCGGAGCACTCTGCATTTGACATCTTACCAGTGGTAAGCAGTTTAGCATTTTGCTTTTGTTCAAGGCCCTCAAAACATGTGTCAATGACCAGCTTCTGGAATCGTTTATCCTGCAGTGATTGCAACAAGTCAACAGACACATATGACGGGGTGATCTTGTACTTCCTTTCCCACAAAGTATCACGGCACAAACATCACCTCGAGCCCTTGGATTATCACTAACATTACGTGTACAGTACTCAAACAGCGACAGAGCAACCAAATCCTTCCTAGCCGTTTCTCAGAGTGTCGCGTCTGAAAGAACACACCTCAGAAGGCATAACCAAGACTGCTATTCACTAAGCATATATACCGGGAGAAGAGATGGCAAACCGAGAATCTTAGACACCTGTCTATGTACAAACTGGCGTCCTGATACTTTCAGGTGGCACTATTAGCTGACCTTCTTGGCAAGCTCCAGCGTACGCTCGTTGAAGATAATGTCAATCACAATGCAGCGCTTCTTGGCTGTAAACAACATACGGACATGGGTAGATAAGACACGGCTTCAACCCTATTCCAAACTGAGCTCAAGCGCCTCATTCTTGTCTCACTAACTTCCCAGGGTCTCCATTGTACGCAAAAATAACAGGCACAGCATTCATCGTCATTGCATACTGCATAGTTCTGTAAAACTTCAATTTCTCCCTTGTCACTGTTGCCTGGACACAATATATAGTACATCTGAACAACTGTCTAAATTACGTGTGCTACAAATAATACCCGTGATCGGCGTGATGATGGCACAGGGTGACTCTCACCTTTATCAATGTCTTCCCGTGCTGCTGCAATACTGTAGGGTATTGACCAGTTCTGGCCACCACTGTCACACGTCAATGCAGCAAGCAAGCAAGCATGCAAACAAACAAGCTGAGAGGTCACGGATCGCCTGAGAGTTGAAACCTACAGGTCATGTACAAATGCTTTTAGAGAGCAAGGCCTAATATAAGGACTGCACTGCCCAGCACATGATGACCCTAGAGTAGATACTTCAAATAACGGCCCACAGTCCAACAGTGGAAATCAACAGGGAAATAGACAAGAACCTTGAACCTTGCCCGGCTTTCAAGAACCTTGCCTTTCCATAGGTATGGTCATCATGTGTACATGTATAGGTCCAAAAGAAAACTACCTAGTCTTCCGAATCACTTTGTATATTCTTTCTTCTCCTTTACCACCGTGCAGTCCTGCTCAGTCTGTGACTGGTTTGCTCAACTTGAGAAGAAGATGCCATGCTGTAACTAAGTTGAGATAGTCATGAGTTCTAGGATAACCTTGTTACTTGATGGTGCCACGGTAAGCATGGGTGACAAGCAGCAACAAACTCACGCATTTAACACCGGGGGCTATGCATTTCACACGGGCACAGCACAGCAAAATCCACATGGCAAAAACCAAGAAGACTTACACTCCATCTGCATTTGTCACTCTGGTGGAGGTGGCCATTTCAATTTCCGGTGCATGGCACACGTTGAGAAACACTTTCTTTGTTTTCTCTGCATCGGTGTATGTCTTCACCACAAAGCCAGGCTAGAGCACAGATCATTAAAACAAACAAATTCTTTGGTTCGTTTAACCCAAACAGATGAACATGCACAGCCACTAAGCGCAAAACAAACTGCGACAATCTTCATGTGCTGCAGTCAGGAGCTGACCACTCGGAGCTGGCTCAGGGCTGTCATCATTAGCTGCTGTTGGTGTGTGACTGTGTGTGTATGTGTATGTGTGTGTGCACGTGTGTATGATTGTATGAATGTATGCAGGCGCGTAGCCGGCAGTGTTTCAAGGTTGCCCGGAACCCCCCCCCCCCCCCCCTCCGGGGTTGCATCGCAGACGACGAAACCGTCGAGACTCTCCTGAGTGCATGTACATGCAGTCCCTGGAAGTACAAAGTGACAGTGCGGTGCATGCTCCACGCATGGTCGGTGCATGCTCCACGCATGGTCGGTGCATGCTACCGCATGCACTTGAGTGAGGTGTGAAACTTCACAAGTGCTTCGTCCGCATCAACTAGCTGGACAACTACAGTTATTGTAAAAGTTCGTTATCATGTTGAGTATTTTAATCCAAATTCTTAGATGTGAATGAACCACAACATGTACATGTAGTAATGTAAAGTCCCAGATTGGGCCTCTTAGAAGCTTGGAATTTGAAGATACCCTGAAGCTTTTGACAGGGGCTCTGCCCCCCCTCCCTCCACCCCGCAAGGGGCTACGCCCCCTTGACCTCCACCGGGGACACCCCCTCCCCCTCCCCCCCCCCCCTGGTGGAAGCCCCTTCCTAAACCCTTCCGGCTGGTATGCGTATATGTATGTGTGATACATGGTGTGTGTGTGTCTTGAAAGGCAAGCTGAGGCTGCGCAAGCGCCTCGTGTTAGCTGTCACCCCCCCCCCCCCTCCCGATCAGTCTTATCACAAAAGAGAGGTTAACATGCACTTTATTTCTGACGTGACGCGAAAGTTCATGCAGCTCCCGTTATTTGGCTCGCGCGTCGAAAAACAACGCGAGTGACCTGCAGCTCACGTCGAAATTTGAAGTTTTACGCCAAATTTGACATGAAATTGCGCGTCACGTCGGAAATAACGTGCATATTAACCTCTCTATTTTCTTGCTACCCCCCCCCCCCTTCCCTTGGACTAAGTCGAAGACGAGCATACTCTCTCACCTTTGGATGAAGGAAGGTGACGTCGCTCCCACGTTCCTTTTCAAGCTCTGCAATCTCCTTTTCATAACGCTGCCATGCGTCAAAGAGGAAAGCAGAAAAGAGATTACCGGTACACAATGTGCAAGCAGCTCAGACACCATAGAGAGATACGTCATAGAGAATAGCATAGCGATACACCATAGAGAGATACGTCATAGAGAATAGCATAGCGATACACCATAGAGAGATACGTCATAGAGAATAGCATAGCGATACACCATAGAGAGATACGTCATAGAGAATAGCATAGCGATACATCATAGAGACTAGCATAGAGAATAGCTTCACAGGAACATACATGTAGAGCTACTGGTCCAGCAGACCTGACTGGTTTGGCTTTCGTCACACTACTTTTCCACCAACCAACCCACATGGTGTTAGGCAGTGAAGGGGAGATGAACAAAAAAAGTGCAAGCAGCTGCCAGTAGTATGCCTAACTTGTCGTCGTTGTCATAACTGTTATTTGCTATTGGCAATAGTACGCCTACGAGTATCTCTGCTGTGTTGGCTGCAGACCAGTTCTAAAGGTTGTGTGACATGCTAAATGCCTGCTTCACATTCACTCATGACCTGGCGGGGCACTGATTGTCCGCTGTATGCGTTCGCACAGCGTCTGTACTTTCGAATAGTTCCTGGACTGAGCGCAATGCACGTCAACAGCCATGTGCTGTCGAGTTTCCTTACACGTCACACACTTAGAACTGTGGACAGAACTGCTGCATGCTCCATGGCCCACAAGTCATAGTTGTCGCTTTCAAGCTCTGTGCACTGACTTTGGTACGCTGGGACTGTTGGTGGTTCAGTGATTCTGTTCCATATCTTTGCATGTGTAATTCGGACTAATTCCCACTCTCAGGTGGAATTGCTAGTAGACGACAACAAGTTCTCAAAGGGTAGGGATCTTTGCTATATGAGCCGCACACTGGAGTAAAGCAGCCAGGTGTGCGCAAACATAGTACCAAGCCAATGGTTACGTATCAAGTACTTCAATGTGTGTACATGAAACCCAGGGTTAGTCCTAATCAGAGAGTCGTCCCTGGCTTGGACTCACCAATCAGGACCACCTTAAGTATTTTTTGATTGGTCAGGTAGTTTCATGGCCTTTCATACTTTGTGACTGCGGGTACATGTGACTGCGGGTACATGTGACTGCGGGTACATGTGACTGCGGGTATATGTGACTGCGGGTACATGTGACTGCGGGTACATGTGACTGCGGGTACATGTGACTGCGGGTATATGTGCCCTCCACAGTAGGAAACACGTGTTGGTGGCCAGCATGTTGGTCTGGTGATGACCTGACCAACCAGACCGCTTCCGGAAGGCCTGCCAATAATTCACTGGGACACACATGTACTCGACTTCTCGGTCTCACCGCTTTGTTGGCGGGGTCAGAGATCTCTTCAGCGTATTCGAACAGCATCTTGCGGAAGTCTTCATTTTTCAAGGCCTTCCCAATCTTGTCCACCTCCTTCACAGCACACAGCCCACACACGTACAGAGAGAGAGAGAGAGAGAGAGAGAGAGAGAGAGAGAGAGAGGGGGGGGGGAGAGGGATGTTCCGACAAAGCACCGCCACGATCTGTTCAGTGGGATAATTACAAATCTTTGAAGCTAGGAAGAAAGAGTCCTTCACCAGTTTCCATGGTTTCACCTCAACGCACTGTGTACAGTATTTCAATGGCCAGATCCAAACCTAAGTCCTGAACCTAAGTCCTGAACCTAAGTCCTGAAGATCCAAACCTAAGTCCTGAACCGAAGTCCTGAACCGAAGTCCTGAACCTAAGTCCTGCAGAAACATAGCGTAGTATTACATACCGCTGACCTCCCAAACCACCCCTGCATAGCCGTTGTGAGAGGTGACAGTAGACTGGTGGTGATTGATGAATCATGCAACTTTACTATGCACGGTGGTGTGTAGTACACTACTACATGATTGTCCATTGTACGTGACATTCTAAACACGTGACGGAGTCGTACCCAGACTCCCCCAGACTCCCTGGTTCTAAAACAGTTGTTCCTGTGCATGTAGATCTACATTGACCCCCCCCCCCCCCCCCCGATCATCACTGCAGGGACCCCCCCCCCCCCAGTATAGTACAGGAGGGGGGGGGGGACTTATGAAGATTTCCGTCCCACTGATACCTGGTAGTCCATACATTTGTAGTGGTGAGCTTCGGAAGGTGCCAGGAAATGGGCACCGCCTCAGCAACATAATTTGCACCAGTTCACTCAATCTACAATACTACTGAAGTAGTAAAATAATAATATCAGGCATGGCCAAGCGCGGCACCTACCTCGGAGGTCATTTCGAATCGTTCCTTTGACGCTTGTGCCATACTGGCTCCTGTTCTCCGATACACCACGGGCACGGCGGAACTGGCGCTGCTGCTGGCGGTCCTGCTAAGACTGAACGTTAGGCTAGGCAAGTTACCAATGGAATTCGCTGGCAAAAGAAATACGTCGGACTGAGCGAGTGATGGGACGCTGGGCTTGTCGGTAAGAAACTGACTTTGTAGAAGTGCAAGCGTATCGCTTTGGCTCTTACTTCATACTGAGTCTCACGCTATTGGCTTTGTCAATAAACCCGTTCTCAAGTAGTAAAGACTCTGGAATTCATTCTCTAATTATTTACGAAGACGTTTTCTTTCATTCGCTTTGCCGCCAACAATAGTTACATGCGTATCATGCCATACCGCGCACTGGTGTAACAATCGCTGTCACTGAGCCCGGTGCTGTGCTGTTAGTCGCGAACTGTAGTCACAGCAACGGTTGCCACTAGCGGCGGTCCGGACGTATGCAGCGGCCCAGTCCTGATCTCCACCGTCAATCGTTGTTTCGGGTCACTTCACTCATCCGTACCAGGGTCGGTCGGTCGGGTTTATTTTTTATTTTATTTTATTTTTTATTTTGGTTTACGTCCATGTGCATACATCATTACATGTATGGTACAATGTACATCGAATAGCTTTTGAAGTTTTGTCTACCTAGCCAGTCGATCAAATCTGACTGTAGAGTGTAGTGTAGATAATCCAGCGCAGTCATTGTCCCATCAGATCCAGGTAGGTCCCCTCCAGGACCAGATCTTGGCCTCGCTGGCAAACGCAGGCCCGGAGGAAGGAGTTGGGGAGTGGTCCGGCCAACCTTTGAGGGGGGTGCGGGGGATCTCCCCCGGGAGAAATATTTAAAATTTACGTGAAATAGAGCGAATTTGGGCATCTCTAAGGCTCCAGAAAATGCAGAAAATTATAGTACTTCAAAGTAAAAGAACACAAACACAACTTTTTAACCATATCAGCCATACAGTGCCGGTCACGGAGTCCTGAGCTACTTCGAAGCACATCACACGTCGGCAAAACAGTCGAGTCATGTACCTCTGGATTTTTTACACCGGTTTTGCACGAATCACATGGACCATCCAGCTGGGAAAGTGGTCCGGCCATGGCCGGACCAGCCTGACCGGTTCCGCCGGCCATGAAACGAGTCTGACGAGCAGCTCTCATCTTGAAAACTTCTGTAAATAGCGACAAGGTGGCGGAGCTGATGCTGTTTCAGGACCGATTGCGGATCGGAGATAGAAGACAACGTCGTCACCAAGCGCTGCATCCTGTCATTTGGCTAGCCATGGCTGCTTCTGAGGTGGATATCTGGACTGCTATTATTAGGGTCGCGCCTGTACATATAGTGTAGTCTGTACATTTGCATGCACTATAAAAAAAAAACATTTTGCGGTCGGGTGAAAAAAGACGGTCGGTCGGATGACCCGAAACAACGAATTAATTCTGGATGGCCTAATAGAGAGGTTCTGCTATACGTGAAACGTAGAGAAATCACGTAGAGAGCAGGTGTCTGGGTTAGAGTCTACGGCTTCGCGTGTTTTGGCTCCAGATTTCTACGCGGAGATGGGGTTCTCTTCGTTGTGGCACACGCAGAGAAAATGCGTACGGATTTGCTGGGTATCAATCAACTGCATGCAGAAAACTGCCAAATATGGAAGGGGAAATTCCCAGTACACATTCCACGTGACTTCTCTAGGTGAAACGTAGAGCAGAACAGCATTTCTTTACGTTACGGGAACGCGAAGAAAGTTCGCGTGATTCTTTGCGTCGCGTTCCCAACACGTAGAGCAGAACCTCCCTAGTGGTGTGCACCAGGGAGTCGTCAAATACGGTATTTGACGACTCCCTGGTGTGCACGGGTATACCGGTAGTCGGGTACCCGTGCTACCCGTGAGGACCTCGGGTAGACGGGTACCGATTAAGAGAGGTTAAAAATTAAATTTAAATTTTACGGTTCGCGTGAGACTCGGCTGGAAGCCGAGTTTTCCGCATCCGCCGTGGGAACGCCACCACCCTCTAGGATCAAAGGCGCAGATGCAGCGCCTAAACGGTGGGAGGTGAGTAGATCAGACCCACCACCAAGTGGTCAAAGACCGAAATCCCATTAGCTGTATCCATGTTACCCTCGTGCCAGGCCACGAGTTCCCAATTAACTGTGGGTCGCAGCACGGCTGGAAAAATTCCTTCCGCTTCCAAGCAGGACTTGAACCTGGTACCCTCTGTTTCTCAATCATGGTCTTAGACCATCCCACTATGCCTGCTGAAGAGAGGTTAAGTTTCACGTAAAAGTTTTACGTCCGTGAACTTTTACGTCAAAAAGTGAAAAAACTCACGTAAAATTTGACGTGTTTTACGTGAGTTGACTGTCCCGCACGTAAGTTCATGACGTGAGTTTTTGGAAGTTTCGCTTGGTTATCCCGACCGAATTTGTGTGAGTTTCCGGAATTTTATCGAGATTTATCGAGTTTGTTGGAAGATTTGATATTTGTGCGAACTAAACCCGAATCCTGCCAGGCAAAATTTCAAGTCACGTCGCACGTGTAACTTAACCTCTAAAAATTACACGTAACGTGAGATTTGCACCGCGTTTTGAAAAAGGGCAAAGAACGTGTGTAACCTAACCTCTCTATTACCGAATCGTACCAGAAAACCCGAAGTCGCAGATGACATGTAGAAAGAGTAGAGAGAGAGGTCTACAGTGCACGTGTGCAAATAATTTACACATGTCTACCCAGTGTGTAAGGGAAGGGGCCGGTGTGCATTGTGGTCTTACCATGGGAACATTACCCGATCGGGTACCCGTGCTACCCGTGGAAAACTACCCGGACCCGATACCCGAAGAAAATGCTACCCGACTCAGCCCTACAAAAAAGGTCTCATGATGAATTTTATCAAGTCAAGACTCTTCCCGGACGGACCCTTTGTCAGGCTTTGACATACCGTAGTGACGCGCATGTGCCCCGAGCATAACCACACCCTCACAAATAAGCGCATGGGCTTACATGTATTATAGTATATTATTGTTAAAGTACACATTGAAGGCACCGGTATACAGTGTACTAGCAACTCAAGCGCATGTGCCTACTTGCGAGACAAAACGACCCGCAAATTATATCAAATAACGCAAAAACGCACTCATACTAAAGAGCATGGCCCTTTATGTGCGTCACTACGCCTCAGTCTACGGTGTGCTGTGGTTACATGAGGCGTTTCACCCCTGGTTGAGTTCCACCCGGCTCAAGTTTCAACCCGCCATGAACCGTGACCAATTGACTGGCGCGTTTACATGACGCATTCCGCTTGACCGGGTTGAAATATCGCCCCGGGTTGATTTCAACCCGCCTCTTGGGCTGTCCCCCGAGAATTCCGCGGCAGAATATCAGAAATTCCGTGCAGAATTCTGCGGGACTGCGGCTGAAAACAGTAAATTCTGCGCTAGTTCTGCAAATCCTTCAAAGTTCTGCGGCAATTCTGTAAGGGAAATGAGCGTAAAAAGTTCTAAAAAAGATTGGGGGAGTCACTAGTCGACCGACACTGTACAGTGTACATGTCAATACATGTGAATTGCATCGTCCAACAATAGCAAACGGTACCGTTCATTTCTGGGCAGGGGGGGGGGGGGCAGAGTATGAAAGCAACGACGTATGTTTAGAGGACGACAGAAAAAACAACTAACTTCTGCGGTGATGCGCTAACATGCATGCACAGGATCCAAAGCCAGCCTTTTTCTTTCTTTCTTTTTTCCGCACATTCACAGGCTTGGCTCACTGCAGCGGCTTATTCAGCTGCTCATGAACGGATACCAGCAGCACATCAAGTGGCGCACACAGATACGCAGAGCACACATGCAGCACTGAGTCAAAAACACAGGTACTAGTAGTTCGGGTGTCTGTATCTGAGTGGCTTGATAGCATATATGGAATAATCTCAACGGCTAAGCGGGATGCACCGAATGAAAGTAAAGTAAAGTGTGAGAACATGGTTATATCATCATTGAAGCAAGCGTGAGCTTGGTTGCTTGACAAACAGATGAAAGTTGAGTTCAAGTGCTGGCAAAGTTCAGAGTCAAAATTGACTGTCAGCATACCTAATATCTGTTTGTACCAGTAAATATCCTCAAGCTGAAGTGGCTTGGCAGTTTCATATCTAATTCGGGTCGAAAAGTGAATGGCAAACATGAGCGGGGTTATACAATAGTCCGGGTGTGGAGTGTTGCAGAATTTCTCCTGATGGGTGCGTATTGCCAGCTTGGGATTGTCGATAATTGCTATGGGCTCAAGGGTACAAATGCGATGTTAGAATCTTGACAACGGACCAAGCACTGAGTGAAGGTAGAACAAAACACTTACAGCACTACTATACCTATCACAAGGCTGCTAGCTAGGGAAAGCACTGGCAGGGCATGCACTCTCAAACACTATGCTTTCACACACAAACCTTCACACGCACGCAGACAAACCAGCGCACATTACACTGTCACACAAACACACGCACACACATACACACAACCTTGATGATCCAGAGCTGAATAGCTCCTGATATTCCAGATCCGTCGGTCAGCTCCGTCAGTAGAGCTTCGTCACATCAAAATCACGAAATCACGGGAACACTTGTATGCGTGGAAGCATCATTATAATTGCTGTTTTCCTGCACATACCCAACATAGAGGAATGCATGATAAAACTATGTAAACAACAGTGTTTCTACGTGTTTCATTAACTTTCATATAGTGTTGATGGCTTAGATCTAACTGGCATGTGCTTAACATCCCTGTTTGTTTGCGCGATCGACTCACAGATTCATCAAAAGGCAAGTGTGCCTGCGAAGACCCCACAGTGCCCCCCCCCCCCCCTGTTTCACTGGAAATTGTTAGACCACACTGAATGACAATCAGGCTTCCGATTCGTGCAAAACACGGTGTGCATTACGCATACACAGTCTCCGGAGAGCCAGCTGTTTCACACATACATACGTCCAAGGTAAATACTACTAATGTGAGAGATAAGATGTGCTGGAAACGCTTGGCCATGTGCTCTGTGCTGTCAGTGGGTGCTACTTCTTGGTGAGCTTCGCTCTTCATGCAATATTTTGGTGGTGAAGCATGCGATTCTGCAACTGAATAAGGTGAACAACTAGTGCACGTGTGTACATGTGCTGAGGTGAACCTTACCGGCGAAGCATGCTCGGGGATGAGGGCTATATCAGCGGGTAGGGGAATTTTCTTGTCGTTCGGCACGCCGATCATATCCGCCAGCGAGTCCATAGCATTCGATCTTGTCGTTCGCCCACTGAGCCCGTCCATAGATGAAGCGGAAATATTAGCTGTACATAGAGAAGCGGAGAACACAGAGAAGGCAAGTAAGCGGCTTAGCATGTCTTTGGCACTCAATGTTGCAAACGGCTTCTTCCCTATCAATCTAGAACAGAAAACTACTGGTATCCCCATACAGGCCATACGTACACCATCCCCGGCATACAGACAATATATACGGCACAACAGACAAAAAAAACAGGTTCATTCAAACAATTGCAGTCTCTTGTTCGATTCCACAGAACATTATATTTTGCAGCTGTGGACAGCTAACTTGTTTCGACCTTCTTAGGTTTTGTCAGCCGAGCTCAGAGTGACTGGTTGAACCGATCGCAATGAAGTCAAATTAACAACAAAGCCGCACACAAGCGCGCATGCACACACACACACAAAACACACACACACACACACACACCAGGTATACTCACTGTTGCTAGTGCTCTCGGTGTCATCTTTACTATTATTCCGTCCAGCCCTTGCCCGTTGTAGGCAGATAATCACCACCACAAAGGTGATTCCAATAATGGCAGCGGATACCAGGATTATGATTATGTTGACGTTGAGACCGGAAACTGAATCGGGGTGGTCTGGGCAATTTGTCCCTGTAAGCATGGCATGATATGACAAAGAAAGTAAACATGATGCCATCATGTTGCAGAACCTTTAACCACATACAGAAACATTTCAAATCACTTAAAAAAAAAAGCTACGCAAGGCATTCCAATCGCATTAAAAATATGCAGTATATGTACATACATACATACAAACACACGTTCACGCACGCAAACATTACATGCACACAGACCTTAGCAGACGCTGTGACCTGTCCTTCGACCACTTGTAACAAGGAGAGTTAAAATGAGGGTTAAATGGCACACAGCACAGCATTCACTCACCATTCACTACGACGGATTGTCGTGCTACACCCCGTAAGTTCACCCCAACACATGTGTAGGTTCCTTTCTTGCCTGACTCGTCAAACACCATGAGAAAGGGGTCAGAGGCATTAGCCATCAATTGGCCGTTGAAGAGCCACGTTTGATTCGGTGCTGGATCTCCGTACGCTACGCACTGCAGAAGTGTTCCATTGCAAAGACTCTCCTTGCGCACAATGTCAATGACTGGCTTCCCTGAGATTGGAAACAATCGATGGGGAGAGAGGGGGGGGGGGGGGGCAAGGACACGTCATTCAACACATGCTGCGTTCACATGCTTCACAAGGCTAGCAAGGATATTTCTCAGCAGGCAATCGCATACATAAAAGCACAAACAACCTCGCCACATACCTGTCCATTACTCATTGCTGTAGTAGGTACAGTAAACTGCTGTTACGGTAATTTTGAATACAGCAGAGCATCGATCATCCGGACATTGACTATCCGGACCATCAATTTCCGGTAAGGCTGGGACACTGCTTACATGCCCTTCAATGCATGGTAGAACTACTAGTACATAATCCTGTACGCACTTTCGATGCTGAAACCGTATCACATGCATGTATGAGCCCTGTACACAACGCGTATCTATGAGTCTATCAGTATCCAAACATTTCCCTCATCAGAGCCCTCTTATGAACAGCGTCTGCCCCGAAGCGTTCGGATAATCAATGCTCTACTGGATGATGGGATTGGAATGATGGCCGTATTCAATCTGCATCCGTTTGGACGAACCTAGATGAGGGTACTATTAGTAGATCTTCTGTAGGTGGATAATTTGATCATTTAAACCCCAAGAGACTGATGAGTCAGGTGTACAGCAGTTGGCACTACCCGGAATGACAGTACTGACATTTCACAACCTGACCTGGAAGAGGGGGGGGGGGGGGGAGGGGTCATTTTTTTAACCCTCTCAGTGCCACGGGCGACTTTAGTCGCCCAGACTGAGTATGTGAGTACAAATAAATTCGTATCTCCACTTCTACACACAGGAGAGTTACAAACGACCACTCTACGTCTTCAGGAAGACCTTGGCTATCGACTCATCACAACGTTTTGTGTCCGTGAGGATAGATACCGCCAGGGCGAAGCCTGAAGCGCGCGCGCTCGGACAAACAATTGTCGCGTGTAGAAAACATGACGTATGCGCATTGCGGGTTTCTCTATTTCTTTCGCGGCAACCCATGCGTATTGGGTATCAAAACATCGATATTTTCAGTGGCTTTCAGGCCAACTTTGTCCGAATTTCGTGCGTTGAAATTTGACTGCACTGCGATCGATCGCGCGCGTGAGAAAGTGCAGATGCTACGAAAATGCAGAAAACGGACTTCGCTCAGGCGCCCTCGCGAGGAAGACTATTTTCGCTGCCTATTCTCTTCACAGCTGTCTGCCTGGCCATGATATCTTTCCAGAGAGCCATCGTTTGTAAAGATCCGTGGATATACAGCTGAGCTATGAAAAATTTGAGTTCAGCTCAACTCGGAAAAATTTGAATTTTTCTGACCCCCTTGGCACTGAAAGGGTTAAAGGCATTTCACTGTACTGATATCACCCGTATTTGCTTAGTAATACCGTATTATCTCTAATATAAGCACAGTCTCCAATAATAGCACGTCTCCAATAATAGAACACCTTGGGGCGGCATTCAAAAAATAAAGTGCTCAGTCTCCATTATAAGCACACTGTGTAAATTCATTATCTGTACCGGCGAAAAAAACCCTGAAATGTGCGTGTCATACATGAATTTAGCATGGCAACATGCCTCTGAAATGAGGTTGAAATAATAATGGAACAGTCTCCAATAAAGGAACGTCTCCATTAATAGCACGGGGCGGAGGTACATTGAAAAAATAAAGGACCGTGCTTATATTAGAGATAATACGGTACTCAAGTTCCACCTCATACACGTGATAACGTTAACATGTACTCCTCTTTCTTCAGACACGGACTGCCATTCGACAAATATACTTCTTCAACACCGGTTCATGAACTTACTGATAGGCTTTAGCACCGTTAAGCGTCTGTCCTCATTCTCTGGCCGACTATAATCGATGTGCAGGTCACTGTGTGCAGTGTTTTCAACTACACACAGCACGTCGGTGTGCCAGGCCGGACTGAAAGCGCCCGAAATGCTGATCGAAGCCACCGTACTGTTTGCCAGTAAATGGGTAGTCAGTCGGCCGGTCGTCGTGACGACATTGAAATGCCGACCTCCGGTGCCTTCGATGAGATTGCCAAATTCGTCGATCAGGCGCATTTGCGGGTTGTACCCGGTGCCGGTACACGTGTACGTGAATGCCTGGCCAATTGGAACCGACACATTGCTTGTGACGTCGAGGATTGATGCACGGTCTGCAGTGAATCGCACACATACGTGTACATGTATTTAGACTACAAGTACATCAGCAGTACGGTCTCAATTCAAGTGCATCAGCAGTACGGTCTCAATTCAAGTACATCAGCAGTACAATCTCAATTCAAGTACATCAGCAGTACAATCTCAATTCAAGTACATCAGCAGTACGGTCTCAATTCAAGTACATCAGCAGTACGGTCTCAATTCAAGTACATCAGCAGTACGGTCTCAATTCACAACAAGCAGGCACATGTATACTGGCTGTGTGTGACAATATCTTCAGGGGCAAGCCATAATCAGTATGCATCTTCTGCAAATATCGCATTAGTGAAGCTGTTCTCAAGTATTGCAGAATCAAACGTATAATGCCATCACACCCAGTAGCAGTAATCTGTATTGGTATCGAGCATTGCATGTGGCAGGTCTCTCCTGCTCCCTCCACTCTTCGCTTTGTCTTGCAATACGGCTGTCCGCAGCCAACCCTGCACTAGTTATGGCTGATGTAAGGTGCGAGAAAGAACATGTATAAGCTGCTTTGCCGGCATGTCATGATTGGAAACTGTGGCCTTAGTAAAAATAAATAAAAATAAGTAGACTTACTGATTGTAGAGACAAGGTACTTTGAATTCCAGATATACACGCAGGGAAAAGCGAGCGGACAGTTCGCCTGGTCGTCAACCGTCACCACCTCCACATATTCCGTTGGACTAATATCACCAGCCCTGTAGCACAACTTGCTGGAGTTGGTGCCAGGCACCTTCAGTCGGATCACTTTCTGCTCCCTGAAGGTGGTGATGGTGATGTTGTACGTCCTAGACAAGTAGTAGCTGCTAACAGATTCTGGTAAAGAGGGAACACACGTCTCGACTCCTTCTACGACTAGTTCTTGCTTCTGGGGTGCGCTGGCTAAAATAACTGTTGGTTGCATTCCAGGCGGTGGATCTGAGCATGAGAAAGACACATTATTCCCATGCATGCATTACCACATACTTTCGACAGCATTCGTGGCAACAACAAAGTCAACAAATCCGGTCAACCTCGTAGTTACAGCATAACAAAAGCCTCGCAGGTGCTGAGCTCCTTGGGGCCACGGACAGAGGCAAACCAGGCTCATGATCCAGCACCGAAGTGACAATGGGCACCAAAAACCTAGGCCCATGGGAATCAGCTGCGAAGATATGCCGGTACGGCCATACTCGCATTTCTCAATCAGTTCTATTTCCCAGCAGGTGCAATCTGAAACAGTCACAGAGAAGTGGTGGGACAAGTGGCAATCTGCAGCGCTGTGATCCTTTGATTGACAGACGTAGACTACTCCAGGTCAACACATCGTAATTGAAAAGGAACAGAAGGGGGGGGGGGGTGAAAGAATGAGTGAAGGAGAGAGAGAGAGAGAGAGAGAGAGAGAGAGAGAGAGAGAGAGAGAGAGAGAGAGAGAGCACGTGAGTGTGGTAATTGTGGAGTATTGTCATTTTACGCAACTCAGACTACAAACTTACATGAGCACGAGGTATTTTCTGGCATCACACGTAATGAAATGTCACATGCTATGACATTGGTACCCGTAATGATAGCAGAGTACACGCCCGTGTCTGCTGTTGTTGCTTTACTTATAATAAGATCATCATTGAAACTTCCCCTGATGTAAATATGACTCTTGACACGAGATGTGATCACGTGGCCATTATGATGCCACTCCAGGCTGACTGGAACGGATGGGTCTTTTGCACCCACATGGCATGTCAGCGTAGTTGCCGACATACCAGGTGTGCCATCGTGACACTCTTCGTAACGGTTTATGGCTGAGCGGATCAAACAGAGAGAGAAAGAGAGAAAGAGAGAGAGAGAGGGGAGAGAGAGAGAGAGAGAGAGAGAGAGAGAGAGAGAGAGAGACAGAGAGAGAGAGAGAGACAGAGACAGAGAGAGAGAGAGACAGAGCACATCAATGTCAGCCATTAACACTTGAGTGATGAGTGTGATACACCATCACCTCCAGTCGAGTCTTTTTCACTTACCATGGCTATCGATCTAGCTTAATTAACTAAACGGCGATTGCAGGATAGGCTACGGCCTTGGGTTACTCAAATTACACGACCAGAAATGGACACACTAAGCAGGAGTGAAGGCAGTAGGCATGTCCTTGAAAGGCACTTCCCGTCAGAAGCAACAACTTTCAGACAGATCCCAATTTTCTCAGGTGTCAGAACCAAAGCAGCCGTGGGCCAGGATCACAGGTTTCAAGATATACTGCTTACGGAATCCCCCTCGCACTTCAAAGTATGTAAGTGAAAACTTTACGACTTAGTCATGATGACATACACAAACAGACGTGCATCATACATGTAAATACCATACCGAGACTTGTAAAAAAGTACAGCCTGCATCTACATGCACTCTATGACCAAACTGCTGGTAGTACACAGCATTTACACAATCTCCATTTCCCAAAGTTTCCTGTAGGTTACGTGTTGCCATCAATGTAATATAAATGATCCATATTATGCAAGCCGATTATTCTTATAACTGGTTTAGTTTGAGTGGAGAAGATACTTGTGCTTTTGAATTTCGAAGGTGATAACATAATATCCGGACTATAATATAGTCCGGATATTATTATAACCGCCAACCCTATAGCTGATCTCTACCTCTACTAATATGATGCCACTGCTTTGCCCCCCCCCCCCAAAAAAACAGACAAACAATTTGTAGAATCCCACACCACTAGCATCGCGTTTCAGTCTCAAGTCGTATAAAAGCTTTCCACATCCGAGTCATGCACTGGTATCAACTTGAGCTGCTCTGTAGCTTTGCAGGACATGCAAGGCTGCTATCAACTGCCAGTGCATTACAGCCTACGTTGTTTCTGTTTCCAATGCCCAAGCATTCACAATATCTACGCTAGAAGTAATAGTATACATCAGATCTGTTGCATATACAGATTTTCTTAACTCTGCCTCCTTCTGGTTGCTTATCTCTGACTGGCATTGCGCCCATCACCAAGTTTGTAAGTGCATGGACCATTCAGTCTACTGGAATAGGGCTATTCACACAACCTATCAATAATATCATGGAGGCTATCAAAGGAGGCTTTTCATCATCTTATCAGAAGTGTTCCACCCACTTGAACTAGTGAAAGCCCAAGGTGACTTCTGGTGGTATGCACTAGCATTGTGCACTGCTTGAGCTCAGGGTAGCGCACGGTGATGAAGTGTGGTCTCCGACTTGTTACATGCTGTCAACCAACAACATGGCTGTACATGTGCATGCACTGTGCCTGTGGACTGGGCAATATTTTGCAAACATACTACACTGCCGTACAGTGTATAATCATGTACTTCAAGAAAGTTCCAAAATACTTTGTCCACATACACACTCACTGATCCCAGCATTGCAACAGACAGAGGACTACTGATCAAACTGAACCGGCAATGACCTGAGTGAGCCAAGGGAAGTAGTCAGCTGAGGGAAGTAATGAGCTGAGGGAAGTGGTAGTTTGCTCTTGGGGTCTGCTCTCAGGGTCTTCCTTCCGCTGCCATTGCCAGGCCAGGCAACAGGGAGAGATTTTCATCATGGAATGCAGTGGAGGCACTCAATGCTGCCCCCTGACTGCCCTGTGTCAACAACCCTATGCACTTCTACATGATGGGATAAGACAGGATCATGGCGGCATCCCATTGTTTATCAGTGGGCAAGTCTGTTTCAGTGTTTGTTTCTGCGAAATACACAGGACAGGTACTAGTACATGACGATGATTGGATGATGATGCTAAAGACCCTGTGGCCTGTACACTGTTACTAGGACTTGTTCTGTTGCAGATTGTAGGTACACACAAGTCACACTCGCACAGGTGTACAGAGCGGGCTCATTTCCACTCTGATAACATCTGACAATCATCTGACTTGCACCTCTCCCTGACTAGGCTGAGAGTGAGACTGTGTGAGTGCTAACAACATAGCAAACTGCACAAGACTAAGTCTTATAAGTTATTACTGGGTTTCAGGGTTTCTCACCTGCACATCACCTACACTGAGACTAGTCTGTGTGTGATTGGCTAGTACTTATAGTAGTAGTACTGTAGTACAGTCGACCTACCCTTATAACGATATTTGCGTCACACCAAGAAATATTGTTATAAGGGTAATATTGTTATAGGGGTAACTGGTTCATTTCATACACATACGTCATGATTCATGGATTTTGTTCTTTTTTACACTCTTCATAGCATAACAAACTGACATACATGCACATTATGTGCACAGCAAGGTGCCAACTGGTGCCCGATTGCATTTCGTCATGTCCCAACGACTTATCAAGTGAAGCTTGCCCTACCTGGATAGTAGGCTCTACATATTCCCTGCTAGATATTGTTATAAAATGGAAAATGTCGATTGGTCAGCCCATTTTATATCGTTATAGGGGTAATATCGTTATAGCAATATTGTTATAGAGGTAAGGCATTGTATACACAAGTCAATGGAGTGATTTGGTTTGCCAGAAAAATATCGTTATAAGGGTAATATCGTTATAGAGGTTATCGTTATAAGGGTAGGTCGACTGTACTTCAAACTCGTTTCCAATCACCGCTCACATCAGTCACACTTCAGCTGACACCCTTCACTCTGATGTATCACTGCACGAATGTGTGGCCCAGTGTGAGGCGCAGCGCGGTGTGGGGCGTACAAAGGCAAAGCGAATAATTGTTGTATCTCCACCATAACTGTGTCCTACCTCATGTCATCATGTATACACGATAAGAACATCACTCATTAGGATAGCCATCCCTACTACAACTGTACCCTAGCCTAAGTAAGGATCTGAAGCCATGCAAAAATCATGCCGGCGTCCACCAGGTCCACCAAGCCCAGGAGCACATTCTCAAGTCAGCCTCGTGGCACACACATGATCGAGATCAGCTGTTCGCTCACCGTCGCGATCAGACCCAGCAGCCAAACCCAGTAGTTCCTGCAGTAGTCGGTGAGCGACACGTCCTTCCGAAGGCTTCATTACTTCGAACTGGCTCACCAAACTAGCCTCACCAAACTCTATGCCAATGGCCACGCGAAGACACTCTTACATCACATAATCATTACCGGTGCTCCCTTTTCAAGGTTGAAGCGATATGACGAAAAAACAGGCAAATTTATAATACCCAGTTCTACGACTGGACCAAAGACGAGCAATGTGCCAAACCAAACTATTCGAAACAAGGTCATTCTCGATAGCGCATTAGCTTCGCTCAATTCTCACCCAGGAAAGGTGAATATCATGCATGGTACAGAGCGAGCACACAGAATCTGATAATGATTCAAGAGGCTGTCCTCCCCTTCAACGTTACTCTAGCTCTATGGCCTAGTCTCATGGTTTCCAACACATTCATTGCAATGAAAGTCGCGAATGGCCAAAAGGAAATAAACGGGCTAAGACCATTGAATCTTCGCCAAAAGAACACAGATGTCCCACTTACCGATATAATCGATAGTCTTTCCACTGACCAACGCAGCGCATAGCCTGGTGCCCAGCAGAAGCGCAACGACAAAGATGGTGGTGGCTGGAACGCGACCCATGTTCGGGCCACTTTACCAAGATTGAGGACACTTAGAAATAATTAGAGCATTCTACTTCAGTAACGTCATGCAGCACTAAAGTAAAAAAAAGTACAACTAACACGAGCTAGCATGTAGCAGGAATTGTTGCTGAAGCCGCTAGTAGCACTAACTAAACCAGAAAAACACAGCACAGCGTTCTCTTCGCTAACGTTCCCAACAAAGTAGTCTGAGGAAAACTCGGGAATGTCTACGAGTACGCGCTTTCATTTGATTCAACACTGTATAATGCAGACTGGTGCACTAGCACTGCACTGGACTAGACTGCAGGTTCTTTCAATCTTTGCACGTTCGAGGAAGTAAAATGAGGCGAAGTCGAACATGCGACCTAGTACCTTCTCCATGATTTTAGCTCGCACTGCATGCACTGCATCGTCAGTATTACAGCACACTGATATGCGCTGCATGCTGCAGACACGTTCCCTGCTTACGTCACTGTGGTGAAGGCTGCTGTCCAGCATGGCAGCAGCCTGTCAACATGGTCATGTCAAGCTCATGTCATGATGATCTTGAGACGGAGACGTAGCCGTTGTCGACGGGATCGGGACTGACAGACTACACTCGTCCTCGTCAGTGCATCGACAGGCTACTTTCGGAGTGACGTTTCAACGGACCGTCGCGGTCTACCATGTCTACCAGTACGTGACAATGGTGATTGCACAACTACTAGACTAACCATCTTTTTTTCTTTTTTTTTTTTTTTTTTTTTTAACTTTGTTTTACTTCGCAAAATCCAAACGGGAATTTCTTCCCAATGACAAGGTAGCGAAGATCTTAAGAGGGGAGAAAAAGAGAGAGAGAGAGAGAGAGAGAGAGAGAGAGAGAAAAAGAAGGAAAGAAAAAAGTGTGTATGCACTGGAAATGATAGTCAGCTGGAAATCGGATCCATTGTCAAACATGGCATTTGCTACTGTTCCATGTAGTCAACGAGCAATTGCGTAGGGTACTGCTGCAGCTTTGAAGGTCTCCAGAGTTGTGCTGGAGCGGACGTCTCCAGGTAATCTGTTCCATTTACCTGTAGCGTTGAAGGCGTACCTCGACTTGCCATCTAGCTAGCGACTTACGTTACGTAACGGGAGAGCGATAGAAACGACATCGTTTGAATGGAAAAGGGCATAGCATGGCGCGGCGCGCATCTGCCATGACCGCAAACTGAGTTTAACATGATAATTTTCAAAGGTAACTCCAACTATTTTGGCAATGAACAAATATTTATTGCAAAAGAAGTCAACTAATGAATAGAAGAAGTAATGTTTTTTTCATGTTGATCTCTGGCATGGCATATGATATGGCATGCATGGACACCTTGTGGATACTCGTGTATTTTGTTGTACATGTACATGTACTTCTGGTCACTTGCAAGTACGAAAAACGCACAATTTCCCGAACTTTGAGGCTCCATAACTAAGTACAACAAGGTGAATCATGTATCCCCGCGTGCCAAAGCATTATGAGGATTTTGGGAGCATAATGCGAGAATCCATGAAAGCACAATTCCATGATTTCGCGAGCATAATCCGCCGGAGCCTACCGCAAAGGTGGATGTCGCAGGTCCTAAATCTATCCGACAGACCGCTCTGCATTCATGTGTGGATCTTGTAACCCATTTCATTTTGATACCAAAATACTGAGTCTGTACAGCTAGTGATATGCAGACACTGCCGAACTTTTGGCCGGGCGAAGCTCCAGCCAACGACTGTGAGTGTGAAGCGACAGAGACGGTTCAAATGAAAAATACGTACAATGTACATGTACATGTACATGTATAATGGTACCGGCACTTGTGCGTCTTCAAATTTCAATTTCAAATGTGCACATACGGAGAATTGACGGTACCCATCATCACTGGGCCTGGGCCATCAGAATCTCGGCACGTTACCACGGTGGCATTGCAGTTCGCTTATTTTAGCAGCAGGGAGTCATACTTAATAAAGTAACGGGTTAGTTGTCAACACTTTATTGATACCCCCTGCTGCAGTGAGGAAGAGCACTGCTTTTAGTAGATCTACCGTTGCCTTCATGAAGAGGCACTGTCCCGTCCGAGACTTGTATCGTCAGCCTGGCTCAAGCTCTCGACGAGCAACACCAAAACAGTCGATCTACAATGCGTCACCAATACCAGCTGTCGGTGGCTGTCCGACTCTAACAACGCGAGCGGTGAGAGTCGGTAGACTCGGATCGGAGGGAACTAGAACTTACGTGATGTTACTTGCTTGTGCGAGGAGGCGCCGCACGAGCACTGAAGGTGGCTAGACACGCTGTTAGCCAGCGCCATTTTGTTGACTGTGTCAAGAACGCGTAACGGCGAAGCCAAGCGGTGACAACCGGAGACTGACAACGACGATCGTTTTTGGCTGAGCGTGCACGATTCTTCACAAGACTACCGTAGTTAGCGAGGGTCAGTCCTCACCTTCAACCACACAGTGACACCTAAGTCCTTGTCTGTTGGTTACGTGTCCAGACCCAGCCAGAACAAAGCATGACTGTACTGTGTACTGTCATAATCAGTGTACATATACGTAGAATCTACGTATATGTACACGTACATGCACCCGTAGATGCACACGTACATTCTTATCTCAGAAGATGTGCATTGGACATGAGTCACATGACCACGAGTGTGCAAGGTGTGTGATTGCACATACATGTAGATCTTGTACACTGTATACATGTAGATCTACGTGTATGTACATAATTATTATACATGTAATACCGGTATCCAATCGTACATTGCCATGCATGACCACATACCGTACCATGTACCATGTGTGTCATGTATTTCCGTGAAATACTTGTTAGTTAGTACATGTAGTTAGGGCAGTATTTAGTAATGTAACACCACAAGGATGCCTTGATACTAGTAGATGGCATTATAATTAAAAAAATTATAACTAATATAAGTACATGTATAGGCTAGGATTTTGTGGATAATTATAATGATGTATGACAGATTTTGGTGTCAGCTACATGTACATGTACGTAATTACTGTATACAGCGTATTTCGCTCCTGCTCTTGTAGCAGTTGAGCACTCTTGCATGGGGTAGTGCCTTTGCTGTTTGCTTTATGCAGAGCTCACTGACTTGTCAGTTTGAGCACTCTGGCAAGGTACGTTCGGGCCTGATTGGAAATTTTTATTTCCATTGCTATCAGGTTCGGCCTCATTTCCTCTGTGCTGCGCTGACGAGTCCACAAAGGACGAAACAGTTCTGTCCGCAGATTGAGTAATTATACAGTCATGTACATAATTATACAATCGTATAAGTCATGTACATGTACATTGTACATATACATGTACATGTCATGTATGTAGTGTGTACACTGCCATGCTGCTTCAAGCACCTACTGTGACTTGCTTTTACACTGTGTACATGTAGCTGTATCGCAGACTATTACATGACTTTGTACAATGTATGTACATAACACGGTGTTGCAGTGGTTGTGTGCCCGCTTGGACCACAAAGTTACCAAATGTGTGCCTTGAAAAGATAAAAGGGACAACTCCCATTGATTGTTTTCCACAGACGCCAACTAGTCGCCAAGGCTCATATTCCTGACATCACTTACATGTAGCTTGTGAGATGATGTCATCGTCAAAAGGAGTCAAAATCATTACAGTCAGTGAGCTACAATGTATACAGGAAGTGAGTAACTGTTAGTAGAATGACATGTAGAATCTACATGTCACTGAGGACTAGGACTAATGCGACATACCGAATACTGAACCCAAAGTTGTCCGATCTCATGCAGCATAATGGCATTACACTGGCTAAGACTGTACATGTGTAAACAGGACTTGAGTGGCTTCTTCTTCTTCTATTTCTTTGTTCATACTGCTTTTTGTTAAACCACTTGGTGTAGTACAGCAATGATAGGCGCCAAGGAATGGGGTCCTTCAAGAGGTACGTGTACAGGTACATGTACAGTATAGTTTTGTTCCTATTTTTGAGAATCCAGTGACTTGACGTGTGGTCGACGACCTCCTACCCCTGCAATGTAGCTTGCCCCATTAGAACGGCTCCGACTGGCAAACTGAAGATGGTCCAGCCAACTGCATGAACACGGTCCAGCCATGCAAGGCTGAAGCCTGTGAAGGTGGTCTGCATGGCCAAGGCACTCACTACATAGGCATACTGTTCATACATGTATATCTAGACATGCTACTTGCGTGCGCTGTGTATCTCCGCTACATTGACATGCGGCTGCTTGATTGAAACGGTGATCTGGCCAAAGCCTGAACAGTAAGCTTGGCTGGCTACTGTACTTGGTGCCACGATCAGTGTCTTCAGTGGAGTCAAACAGTTAGTGGGCACGTGTGTTTGCCCAGTAGGCCATAGGGTTCGAGTTGTCCACTCCAATAGAGAATATCTCTCCAAAAAATATCTAAAATAAAATAAAATTCGAAATCCACTTGGAAAACATCAAGCCGGTTCAGACCAGCTCGGGGTACTTTTCTAGGGGTTATGGGAAGTCTTCACCAAACGATTACCAACAATAATAATAAGGCTATGAGAAAAATTCTGTTACATTCTAACATTAAGTTACAGAAAACCATATCACCTCCACTGTTCCGCACGATGCTGTGTTCTGTTTCGGACTACCAGAAAAGAATGCATCCTTTTAGACATTCTCTGTTTGACTTTAAAAGTTAAAATAAATAGGGTGCATTTAAGTGGAATGATCAAGCTCTCAAGTGAAATCAACAATAATATCTTTGGATAATTTCAATTGCAAAACTGTGAAAAATAATTCTAAGTACATCGTAGTACACATACCTAGAGTGTGACAGCCTGTCCAGTAACAGCCCGGCTGTGAATAGAACACACTGTTGTGTGTTGTGTCTAGAATGAAAGAGTTTGGAGTGTACTTGTGCCTGTCAAATGCCATACACGTAGCATGGTTTCTTACACACAGGCACCGCCAGTTTCCACTTACTCACCGCCAGTTTCCACTTACTCACCGCCAGTTTCCACTTGACTCTTAAAAGAGATCATCAGCTACTCGCCATTCGGTCTCGCAGCGATGGGCAAGACTGAGACCGCAGACTCGAGTTTGCCGGACTTGAAGGGGCTGTCAGTTCTGCTCGTGCTTCTCTAGCATTGAAGTCAGGTTCACAGTCACACGAGATACATGGTGATGACGCAGCAGAGCTCAGCGATTCGCCACCGCCGTCTGCAGAAGGCTGCGTTGCCGGGCTAACATCAAAGAAATGCACCTGTAGTTGTCTGTGAGCTTTGGCTGCATTACCAGCATTGCCCGCAACATTAACTGCATCCCTGCTGGCTATCGAGGCCAGAGATGATCTGCGGTCAATACTGGTAGTCGATGAAGGCAGATAAGTCGGACGCTGGGCAGTTGCAGTGTACGCAATACCGGCATTGAGTGCTTGTCCATGTAAGTCGGCACGATGAGCGGATAGTGATGACTGATGATCGCTACCACTCAGTCCACTACCCGAGTTGTTGTTTTGCTCTTCCTCCACGCAGGACGGCGACACACATACTACTGCGCATGGCTGTTCCTTCTTCCTCTGATGGCGGACAATCAAAAGGACGGGAATCACAACTACCAGCAGCAGTACGATCAGTGGTATAAGGGTTGTATTGTTTATTGCACGATCATCGTCAGGCACAACAGCTTCCTCCACACCACCAGCACTGATCCTGCTCACAAACACACTGGACGCTGCTTGCATAGCCGAGCTTCCCAGTGCGGTCACCACCGCCGGCGTTGAATCATACTTTTGGAAGTTATGTGGCCTCAAGCAGTGGAATTTATCGCCCAGCGTACTATCAGCCTCGACATTCCACTCTATCCCGGGGCAGCTGTCTTTCGAGAAGTGGGATATGTCAATGCAGATGTAGGTGAAAGTAGACTGACTAGAAAGACTATCTCCGGGTATTAGAATCGTTCCACCAACTTTGGCCATTGCCGAAGAAATGCTATGCAGGAAGCTACAGCGATCCACATCTAAAAGGAGCTCATGGGCGATCTTGTCCTCGCCACGGCGTCTCGTTGGGCTGCAGCCTTTGCCAGCTACAGGTTTACGGGAGAAGAACCGTTTGCCAAGTAGTGCCCCATTGCACTTGCACACTGACAAAAAGTAGTCCATCACGTTTTTACTCATCAGGGATGCGTTCTTCATCTGCAGGGATGGTAATATGAACACAGACAGACAGACAGACAGACAGACAGACAGACAGACAGACAGACAGACAGACAGACAGACAGACAGACAGAGAAAGAAACACAGAGAAAGAGAGGCAGAGACAGAGGCAGAGGGAGAAGGAAAGAGGGAGAGACAAGGAGGATTTCAGAAGCATATAAATACCCATGGAACCTATACACAAGCTAGGAAGGTGCGCATGGTGTTCCCGTGTACATGATCTAGTGCTCATTACGCTGTAGTGCGTGGATTTCCGTGAAAACAGACGTGTTGTATTGTATTGTATATGTACGAATTCTCCAGAGTAAATGGATACCACTTATCATGGGAGTCTCTTCAAATAGGACGTCTCTCTCTCTCTCTCTCTCTCTCTCTCTCTCTCTCTCTTCCTACCTCAGATATGCAAGGTGATGGCCCATAGAGTGTACAGGCAGCCATGCTGTAGTTTGCCATAACTATGCCTATGCAACTACACTGTACAGCTGTGCTCAATGAAATTATAGTCTCATGCTCCGCATGCTGTCCACAGATTTGAGTCTCAGCATGAATATATAAATACAGTCTCATGAATAAGTTAGCGCCCTGAGCCAGTGCAGTGCACAGCCTAGTGTTGAAAGTGCCAGTGCTGTGCACAGCCTAGTGTTGAAAGTGCCAGGGCAGCAGCTAAACTGTTATCTTAGTAGTGTACTACAATCATACCTCATCTTGCTGGCAAGAGAAAGTTCGCTTCAGCCCAAATGGAACATGGACATACTTCTGGCGGAGCAGGTTTGGCGTTGGTGGAGGCCGCGATGTGGTGATAAGATGCTGTGAATCTATGTCACCAGCCGAGCAAGCAGAAGAAGAAGAAAAAAAACAACAATCATACAATCATGTTCATGTACCTCTGAATCTACACATACATAAGATATAACACATGGTTGTAGTTCACACATGGCTATAGCAGCAACTTCACAGTGCTGGCTGCTATCTGAGAGACTGGGATGGGCTTCAAATAGGTACATGTACGGTTATCGTGGGTTTAACCAATTATGGTGGCACAGGACTCAGCGGCATGTGGCAGACTAACTGGGCAGTCTGATTCCACTCATTGACCAAAACGCATGCCCTGCCGTGGACAGCAAAGCAGAGATGGGGTTGATTTGAGGGGGTTCAGGTGAACTAGAATCAAACAGTTGCTTTAATTAAGCCCTGTACCATGCCTGTGACTATGCGTGTATGTGCATCTATCTTGTCTACACCATTCAGGTTTGTCTACATGCTGTGTCAGTTGTTGAGATTACAGCTGATCATACCAGGATTCATTACATGTGTACATGTGATGGTGTGCTCTAGAACTCACCAGCTTTGCATTGCACTATCGACACTGGAAAATGTAACGGGGGGGGGGGGGGGGGGTACTAGTAGTTGGAGAAGACCCTGCAAAAATTCTATGCACATATGCTTTTGTGCCGACCGCATGATGCGGGGATGGGGGTAGAGAAATACAAGAGTCTCCACGTTAGAAACAGAACCAATGCCCCCACTGTCCCATACCTGCACTACACGCAATGTTCGTGACAATATGAAGCTGCTAAACTTACTTGGATCAGGATATAACATGGGATGACTCACACTAGCAAAGCTCAGTGCGTGTGATAAGGTGTTAACACGGAACATGAAGCGGTAGTTGCGATTTGGCATGATGTTGACTAAGCACAAATCCTCGGCGACTTCATTGGGTAGATACCCATGCCTGACGTGGTGTAAGCGGCCTGCTGCCTCCCACGGAGATTCACTGTTATCGCATTGAGTCATGGACTCATTCTCCTCGCACACAAACATCTGATAGGAGAGGATTGGAAGGTAGGCGGCGAACTTGTGTGGCGAATGGCTGAGCCGCAAGACGTTCATTTCCACACCATGAACGCCACCAGCTTGTGAGCAATTCATTGGATGTGTGGTTATCTCATCACTACCAGGCAAGACAGGTTCTGAAAGAAAACAATACATTCATATTCATACAGCAGAAACACACATACTTGGTAAGGTTGAACTGGAAACGTCAACTTGAACTCCATCCATCTCCCCGCAGAAATGCAAGTACATGTACAGTTAAATTCTCCAAATCCAAACGCCCTTAATCCGGGCACGTCCGTCTATGGGCACCTTTCTAATCCATTTAGAGTCACAGAAATTGGCTTTTCCAAAAAAACGGCCCCAAAACGGTTGATTGGCATAAGAAAGGTTTACTTGCAAGCATGATATATGTCATCAGTTCACGCATACTACGGTGAAATAGGACCGTGATTGATGGGCAGTATTGGATGAATGATATATCGCAGCCTCCTTGGACTGACCCCCAAGTTGATTCAGCAAATAAAGGACAACAGGTTCTGGAAGTGTTATCTTTCACCGCGCTTCTACAACAACGAAATGGGTCTATATGTGTGCATGCCATGTTGAACTCTTTTTACAGCATTTTCCGGCCATTTTTATTCAATTTTTTTATAGACAACAGGTACGCGGTTTACCGGTTCAATTTTTCTATATTTCGGCCAACGATGGCCCTGATCTAGATATCTGTACATCTGGGAGTCGTACAAGCTCGGGTTTGTGTGACTCCACGTCACAGATCTACTCACACGATCAGTACCTGTACGTGTATGAACTGTGCAAAAAAATTGGCTTTGGCTCGATTTTGGTGCGGGAGGGCCCGGGAATCTCTATTTTTTTAGTCTTGCCTAAGCTCTAAGTTACTCGTAGCAGGGTGCACTCTTCCCATTTTTGCGGAGCTACGCGGATTTGAATGGTAACACAGGACGAATGGAGCGTCGCAGCTTCCTCGGACCAACACCAGAAGACTCAGGGACAAGAAGTGAAATTTGAATTTAGGCCGTACGGCACCTTTGTATGAAAAGATGCTGCTTGCTGTACAGTCGAAGACATGCTAGCTCTGTGCATACCCATCTGCTTCACGTAGACTTACCAAGTGGGAGATACACTGTCTTCACACTGCTCCATCGTCCAGGCTTGACTCCAACGATGGCCACTTTCACCGCCACTTGCTTACCCAGGAGACTCTTGATCAGCGACGTTTCGTTCTTGAAGAAGAAATCTTCGTGTAGGGTGAAGTAAACGGCAGGACTTCCGCCGTCATACTTCCTGGCCTTGCATCGGACGAACCGATCAAGCTTGTGGCCATCGTACTTGAACCTCACCAGGCATAACTCAGGTAGTGGCCCAGTGGTGTAGGGATACTGCACTGTGAAGTACAGGTCTTCTGGGATGAAGGTGATATGTGGGGGTCTATCGAACCGATTTACTGCAGGACATGGATACACCGGCGCAAGAACATGCCACGCACACACATGCACAAACATCCACACACATGCACAAACATGCATACACATGCACATGCAGGTACACACACATGTATGCAGTCACACACACAAGCAGAGTCAACACAGATATATTCCCAGGAATACTATGATTTTTCACCCAAGAAGACCAGTTCCCGAGAGCTTTTTCGTGATTTTCAAGAAGTGATGAGAAAATGGCAAAGCTGCGATATTTTACCTGTTTGTCAAGTGTCCCACAAATGTGCTAAAAGTAGTAAAAATTGGGCCCTGGTCATTTCTCAATTTCTTTTTGGCTTGCGTCTTTTCTCTTCTTCTTTTTGGCAAACTGGGCAGTGATCATGAAGTGTGTTTGTTATTTCACGGCTTACCCCTAGCTTCATAAATTTCCAGCATGCTATGACCACATAACTAGTCATTACTAATGCTCAATACATGTAGCACTGGATCATTTTTTGTCCTGCATTTCCTGTAATCCGAGGCTCAATGAAAATTGTGAAAAACTACTCGAGTAGTTTTGCCTTGCATCTCTCTCCATTGCAATTCTGAGACTTCTCCGCATGCAGTATCCAATGGAAGTGAATCCTTACAGAACAAAATTCTTCACTACAGTCAGCAAAACAGGTTGAAGCACCCTCCCCCCCCCCCCCCACACACACACGGCAAACACATGCGCTCGTGCGCGCACCTCCCCAAACCCCACGACACCCATTACGATACGTAAAGCTCGAGCACTCCCTTCTTTTGGCTGGTCCGACTCCCCCTATAGGACATTGCATAAGAGCCAATAGAGCTGGATTGCAATCATGGTTGCTTTGAGCTCTTAGCAGGTGCACTAACGGTAATCCATTTTCAGCACATGACGTTACAGTACGCTAGTCTACAGGTTTTTCATCGTCCTACAACGCACGGCCACATGGTAACCACACTGTTGAACAAGTAGCAACACACTTTCTACAGGGATAGTGAGATTCTCCACACTAAATTAGGAATGGTTGGTAGTAAATCCCACAGTCACTTCAGTTCAAAACGCATGAACCATGCACATGTCAAAAACGCTGATCAACTACTCATAAGACTCAATTTCAAACATCACTAACGTTACCATAGTGACTAACGTTACCATAGTGAGATACAAATGTAGCGCTAGAGGATCAAAAGTCATTAGAATTAATTAAGAAGTCCGGAGCAGGGAGATGGAAAGAAATTAGTCAATTAGTTAGGAGGTCTTGCGAGCAAGCTTAGCAGCAAGCCGAGCTGCAACCCTAGCGGCGCGCTTGGCGGCACGCTCGCGCGCTTTCTTCTCCATCCTCTCCTTCCTCCGCTGCTCACGACGCAGCGCTCTCTGCGCCGCGCGCAGTGCTTTTCTCAGCTTCTCAATGCGTCTCTGCTGCTCCTCTTCGTCTAGTGTTGATGGCACATCCTCAGTGGGGGAAACTTCGGCAGTTGTAGTTATGGCTCCTGATCCGGAGGACTCTCCGCTCCCCTGTTCACTTGGAGTTTCAACAGTGGATTCGATATCATTTTGCAGCGTGGTAAGCGCAACTGTTGCAAGTGTCTGGGCATCAGTTGTAGAGAGAGTTGAAGCAGCCACGCGATTCAAAAATCGGAACTGAGAGAAAAGATCTCCTCGAAGTTGTACTTCACCCAGGACGGCCGGTGCACCGCCACCAAAGTCCGGTGCAGCATCACCACCAGCATCCTTGTCTGGCTCAGTGGTGGGTGCTTCTGAGGTGGGTGCTTCTGTGGTGGGCTCCTCAGTTGTGGGTGCTTCGGTCGCAGGTGGCTGGGTCTCAACTACCCGCACAGGCTGACGCACCATTACGCAGCGAACAGCGGCCCGCCTCGCATTATCGGATGAGTCTGAGTCACTCGAGTCACTGTCACTGCGGCTAGACCGTCGCCTTGTCGCTCTGGCACGCGCAGTTCTAGTGCACTGCACCCGGGCAACGGTGCGAGCAGGCACTCGGGCTTGTGAATTAGCGCTGTCGTCGTCGGAGCTGGAGCTGGAGCCACCGCCAGTGGCCTGGTTGTTGTTGCTGGCTCGCTGGATTCCCGCTGGTTGGACATTGACCTGCTCGACCGTCTCGGCCAGTTCTGTCTGCATTACTTCCTCTGTGGGCTGTTGTGAAGGAACCTCAGCTGCGGCAGTTGGATCACCATCTTTATCATCTGCTTGCTGCTGAACATCAAGGCCAGTTGATACAGTGGGACTGGGCGGCGGGGCACGTGTAATGATGTTTTCAAGGACCTCTGCAGGGACGGTCTCGCCTGCTTCATAATGTGCACACCGCACGCCGCTTTCCCCGGTTGTTGGGTGTAAAATGACATGGCAGATATATGTGTCCATTTCCAGCACATCACCATCTTCGGTGTCTTCGGTGAGTGCAGCGGAGAATTCTCCCAGGCCAGGGGCATCTTTGTCCAGTGCGTCCGCCCCAACCTCGGAGTTATCTGCAGCCACTGGAGCTCCATCCTTGTCATCTACTGTTGTGACGGCCATTGTAGTCGGTTGCTCTGATTCGATAACAACAGGCACAGTGGGTGCCTCTGTCTCCACAACCATCGCACAGTTAGCCATAGCGCGTGCTCTAGCGCGTGCTCTAGCTATAGCCATGGCAGCACCTTCATTGCTATCTGAGTCGCTATCACTACCACTGTCACTGCTGCTTCTTCTTTCCCGCACTAAGCGACGACAACGCCGTACCTGTGCTTGCCGTGCAGCCGAGTCATCGTTGGAGTCTGACCCGCTGTCTGATCCGCTGTCCGATCCGCTGTCAGAACTGCTACTGCCACCGCCAGTAGCTGCGCTGTTGGCAGCACTATTGGCTGATTGAACGGCTGGTGCAACATTAGCCCTCTCTGTGTCTTCCTGAACAGCGGGTTCCTGCACTATGGATTGGTCTTCCGTGGGAGCTGCTGCAAGCGTTGTTGGCTCAGGTGCGTCCTTATCTTCAGGGTCGAGCTGGGGAAGAATTTCATCTCCGCCGGCAACGGCTGTTGCAAAGACAACGGCACCACCATCCTTGTCATCTTCTGTTGTGACTGCCATTGTAGTCGGTTGCTCTGACTCGATAACAGGCACAGTGGGTGCCTCTGTCTCCACAACCATCGCACAGTTAGCCATAGCGCGTGCTCTAGCGCGTGCTCTAGCTCGTGCTCTAGCTATAGCCATGGCAGCACCTTCATTGCTATCTGAGTCACTATCACTACCACTGTCACTGCTGCTTCTTCTTTCCCGCACTAAGCGACGACAACGCCGTACCTGTGCTTGCCGTGCAGCCGAGTCATCGTTGGAGTCTGACCCGCTGTCTGACCCGCTGTCTGACCCGCTGTCTGAACTACTACTGCCACCGCCAGTAGCTGCACTGCTGGCTTGCTGCCGGGCCATGGAGTTTCCCTCGTTAGAATCGGAATCAGAGCTAGATCCCTGGGATGCGCCAGCATTGGCTTGCTGTGCAGGTTGCGGTCGCTCTGCAGCCTCAATGACTAGTGGCTGCTCTGTATCTTCCACTACTGCAGCCTCCGTGGGTGCCTCTGTTGGTGTAGTTGTCGGCAGGGCATCCTTGTCATCAACCTCCTGCTGCTGCTGAACTTCAATCGGTCGTGAGAGTATGTCCTCTACAATTTCTGGAGCACGAGTGGTTGGCAGCTCAGGCAGCACGAAGCCTTCTGGCAACACCGTACCGGCCGGATATATCTTGCAGGATATGCCCTCCCTGCCATTGCGTGTTATTGGTAAGCAGAGATACCTTGCCTGGCCTAGTACCTGTGCACCATTGCCGGCCTGTTGTCCGGCAGAGCGTGGTCGTTCATGTCCCAGGATAGTCCCATCCAATGCCGCCTCAAGCAGGTGGGAAAAGTCCTCGTCACTGCCCTCGGATCCGAATGGCATGGCGCGAACAGTGGAGGTCAGAGTGCTGCATATTAGTAGCAGTGCAAGCCACCCATGGTCTTTTCTACCTCCGCTAGCCATTGTGCACCGGCTTGGATGTCACTATCCCTTTCTCCGGCACAGACAAACCAGACACTTGAGGCTCTGATTCGGAACCTTTCGCCACAGCTACCAGAAGCTTTGTGATGAAGATCACAGCCTTGCCTCGGCCTTTATCACCTGAAATCCCAGCCCAGGGCAGGCAGTAGAGAGCTAGCTTGAAGCCTGGCCTGAAGTGAAGGAAGCAGCTAGCCCAAGGATTCCGAGAGGGGCGGCGGTAGGTCAATTGCGTGACTCAATTAGTAAAGTGCAACTCTTTGCACAAATGGAGTCATCAATGGCTGGAAATTAATCTAAGCAGTGCAGTGTTGTCCCGGCTATGTCCAGCATCTCAAGGTGTGCATGATGTCTGGAATGCTCTGGATTCAGCGCACCTACATGTACCACAGACATATCATGTGCATCGTGTTGTGCATTGAGCCAAGGTCTGTTGCACTACATGGGATTAGCATACCAATAGCCAAGAGCACCACAACAATTAGCACTTCTGCATCACTTGATGAGATTGCCCCACTCATTACCGCTAGTATAGTATTAGCAGTGGGACAAAGAAGGCCCGAGTAAACTACTCCCCCCCCCCCCCACACACACACACACCTGCAAGGAAAGCCAGGTACCTGTGCTAACATCAACTGTTTGGAAGCTATCACACACATAAAGCGTGATCAGGAACATACAAGTGTTCACTAGTATGCACATGATCTAAGAGGGGGTAAGGCATGGAGGCACGATGGTAAGGCGTGCCCTCTTCTCAGACTACACCATGCACACAAACAAGCCGCAGAGGCTGAAGTGAAGGATATGTTTTGAGGGTGTAAATGGAAACACTACCCTGTGACACAAGTTCAAGGAGGAGGCCTCCTCAGAGGCACTATTGCCGCATTCTGTTGCCATGGTGTTGGCCTTACCTACGTCATCAGCTCTGCTATCCTGTTACGAACTCCACTCAGAAAACTGAGAAGAATCATGTAAGTTTGAAAATCCATCATGGCTGTGTTGGCATGGCGGCTGGTTTCCAATGTGGTCATCAAAGAGTTACTTCACTCACTGGTAGACAGGTTTTCTAACAAGGCACTTCATGCTTAACCCTCTTGACCAGTATGTCCAAAGCGTACATGAATGTGATCCCCCTCTACCAGTGCAGTGCACCTGCCATCATGCATTCATACCTGCATGTGATATGGCTAACAGGTGAACACCGGCACACAGGAGGAAGGTGAACTCAGGCGATCAATGCAGCACCGGCCTTACACGTGGGCAAGATAGGCTTTTTTTTGTCTGCAAAACCAGTGCAGACTGTGGGATTGTAGTGCCTCTTGGACTTGAGCTTGCTTGAGGGGATGTTTCTAGCTGAATGATCTCCACTAGGGTCCATGGCCATGCTACACCACTAATCACTATGATGAAGAAAGTGGGAAACTTTCCATTTCAGTACACAACGACCTAGTAAGTGTGCTGTGTGCACCACTGATCCACCAGAATGCCATCATCAGGACGTGCCTCGTGAATGAGTAAGTCAAGGACCACTCCACCTACTTAAGTCCTAACTGACCTGGGTGTGGCCTTACTGATACGGCCTGTTGAGTCCCAAGTGCCGTTGCACAGCTGACAATCTAACCTGAACTGATGAAGCAGAAGTGCTATCATTGGGCAGTTAACCAAATTGCTACACTGTTGCTTTATCCATGAGTACTGTCTTGTACTCTTTACATCATTGTACTCATCCAGCCATGGCACTGCCGGGATATCACAGGCAAGCCCAAACTCACTGCAGTTTCAGGCTACAGTGTCACATAATCACACTGTTCCCATGCAGCACCATGACACAATATGCCCAGTATGACAGAGTCTTTAGGATTTCCACACTGACAATCCGTACATAAGTTTTTGCCACAAACACTCCCAGGCACTCTGTGGTCATCTTCAAAAGTGGACTTCAACTTGAAGTGCCTGGCACCTGTCATTATGAAAGCTGCCTGGATTGCCCAAGCAAGTGAATCAAAACTTCGCCAGGGTCACAGTTGTTGAATGCCATCCAAGTTTTACCCATGCGGAATACATGCACAATGAGGCTATCCTGGCATGTTCTCAGTGAGCATAGTGTGACATAAATTCCGTGCGGACACCATCCTTTCTACTAGACTAGTTACTTTCTCTTGGAAATGCCAACATTTCTACTGGTCTCTCTCCAGTATCAATGATGTGCATGGCCCTGTAGCTAGTGACTAGTGGTGATGTTCTATTTACAAACTGTAGTGGCAAATGCAGGTATGAGACTCTATGGGTGGTCTCCACTCATGTCACGAGTGACCATGGATTCCAGATTTCACGAAACTTTCCTGGCATCTGGCAAGTCACTGCAAGGGGCCCCAGGAGCTAAGAAGGCTGACATGCCGGCTACCACACCAGTGAAAAATCAAGGAAGTACTGTCTGATTAATTTTATCAGCTTTATCCCAGCTGCCTTTGACTTTGGTTTACGCTGAAGCATCCAACAAGCACACCCTTCAGATCCATACTTGCTAGCCTCCCAGCAACTGTGCAAAGAAATAATTTGATTTAGTTAAACTGCACGATGTCACCACAGGCATGGCTGGCTCAACACAGGAAGCTACCAAGAAGCACAGTGTGAATGGAGTACTATAGCCGTCTATATTCTACAACTGGTTAACCCCCCCCCCCCCCCCTGATCCTCATCATGTAGCCTGAGGGGGGGGGGGAGCAGGGGGAAATCACCATGGTACCCACATGGAACCCAAGGTTAAAAGCAAACAAAAACCAGGGCAACAGCAGAGTGTGCACCCACTCACCAACGAACCCGCCAACACACCATCTACATGTATAACGGTCACCAATTGAAAGCACTGGTTACCAAAGCTATTTCCTCCAACTACTAACTTAGTTAGTACACATCTAAACTGTACAAGTGAACAAATCTCGTGCTCGTGTTTATTCTTATGTCAAGTTATGATCACAGTCCTCATTTTTGTGATTCAGCATGGCCAAACCTCAGCTGAAGGCACTTCATGAGCTTGTCACTATAGTATGAATATTATTAATAGTGACAAGCGCATGTCATTGGTGTCCTGAGCATTGAACACACTTCAAAATGCCCATTTTGGGCTTCTAATTGGAAACCTTTCCAGCAGGCGCATTGTTGGGTGCATCCATGGCACATCCCAATCACGATATTCACAGGATGTTGTTGGTCTGTGCACACGACATTACTGAACACAGGGGACCTCCTTGCTATCAAATGCATTGACTCCGGGAGTTATGCGATCGTGTGCACTGACACCAGGGTTATATTGTACGTCATAGAACACGTCCTAGGACACCGGCTGGGTACTAGTAAACATGCCAACACTCTCTGATTTCTGGTCACCGCAACAAGCAGGCAGCTTGCAACACAGGCATGATTTTCATAGGATATTGTATAATATACTATTGAGACAGTCACATTATCCGTGCCAAAGATAATTTGCTCCCTTTGGCCTACCAACGGCAACGGTGTTTGTCAATAATTCCTAGCAACTGCTAGCTGCTCAGCATAGTATACATGTGTTCACATGAGCATTCCTGATGGCAGCTCTACTGTGTATGATACAAACACGGTACATGATGATACGTGTAAGTACATGATCACGTGTACATACATACCCTATGGTAGAGTGCACATGCACGCATGGATGACTCAGAGAAGTCGAGTATGCGCACCTAGACCTACATGTACATTGTACATTGCGTACTGAAAAACAGCACTATAGTATGTATCTCATCCGGGGTCGGCTGCATTCTCAGAATCCATTAAGAGCTTGTTTTTTCCCTACGACTCGTACGTCAGAAGACTAATTGAAGAAACTACCCTTGAAAAGACCCCCTCCCCCCCCCCCCCCCCCACCACCACCATACACACAACAGCAGCACATCTCTCTGTCTGCATATTGCTAGTAATGAATATCACTTACCAACGGAGAAGGAGAATGATGACTGGTTACTGAGACCACTCACACTGCATGTACATATACCGGCATCACTGCCCTGTACAGAGCGTACTGTCAGCTGACCCGTAGAGGCATCGAAGAACATCCGTCCGGACTCAGCTTTCACACCCGTGCACGACCAGGAGAAGACTGGTGAAAACAGGTCACGTACAACGCAGGTTGCTTGCAAGGTATGGCCCACGACTGCAGTGCGCGGTGCCTTAGCGATGTGAGGTTTGCGGATGGCTGGCAATTGCGGGGTCCGCGGCAGTATGCGCACCTCCATGCTAGACTTGAATGTCACGGGAACCCGGGTCTTGTTGATGTAGTCCATGTGGAACTGATACGCACCGCTGTCACGCACCCGTGCCGCCTGAATCCTCAGCACAAACGCTCCATGCCACATATGGTGGTGCCAACGCTCGTCTTTATACGCGCCCAACCCTGGTGTTATCCATTTGGGAGTTGCCGCGGGAAAGTCAAAGTCACTTGGTGGCATGCACCGCACATTGATCGTGTCACCGGCGTACACAAACGCTTGACCAGTCATATACCCTGCATCAAACACAACGCCAAGGGATACACCGTTGCTGAGTGCTAGTCGTGGGTACAAGCAATACTACATCTAGAATGAGAGACACATTTCATACCACATTTTGGAGAAACATCCTGCAAGTCAAGGGTTTATCGCACGCAGGCTCAGTATTCGAAATTCACCGTCAAAATTTGTTCAGTACTAAACAATGGCGAGGCTAACTGTCCTATCCCCCCCCCCCCCACCCCCCCGACTGAAATCAGAATGGTTAAATAAGTTAAATTGTAGACAAACAATTTGAAAAGAGGTGTTTGTCCCAAACACACTGTATGATTGAGAACTTGGCTTGAGATATATACAAGTACCTGCATAGTATTTTCCCAACAGCATTTCAGCATAGTGCATCCATATTTTGCTACCGTAGCCTGTATCCATTCCTAATAAAGTTCTTGGCATGTTTCTCCATCTATAATAACCCCCCCCCCCTAGCCAACAGGGAATACTTTACAGATCTTAAATCTCCAGTAGGGCCATTACCCAACCCCTTACTGAAAGATGAAGTGATATCTACCCATTTTAGACTGTTAAAATGTCGCTAAGCAAACTAACTGAAACTGATGTGATCAATTGACAGGTGTCAAGGGTCGGAAATGCATTCAGGTTTCTGCAAGATCTGATAAGGGTCTGGGTCACCTGGGATTCACCTGGGCTTGATGTATTCCCGACTAGATCTCCGTTGTCTCTGCCTCCAGTCCTATTGGTGAGATAGCGCTATACTGTACATGTTGTAACCCAACCTCTCCTTGTCGCCATGTGATTGTCTACTACACAGTACCGAAGTACTTTTTACTATGAACACGTGCCGGGCCTACTGTCGTACTGAGAGACATGACAGACAGTAGAGAGCACAGACCATAAGCACAAGACAAAGGGGATGTACGGAGACGACGACGTGCCTTCCTCCTTAGATTTCCTTCACGTATCTTCGATTGAGCTCGGGGACTGACTTTTTATATCCGTGTTCAATCGCTTATTACTTACTCAGGCCATTCTGTTGGTGTACGAGTGGACATTTGTTTCGTGAAATGTTATCAAGAGATTTGTTGCAGACACATACTGGGACATACATGTAGCACATCGCGTTGACCATATACTATAGTAAACTATAACCCAGTGGGTGCACATATTCACCATTGCATAAACATTAGAGTCGCAGCTGTAATGGTTTTCCGCGAGGCTGCGACTGCATAATGTATATATGTATCATCATAACATCCTTTATTAGTCAACAATAGTTATTTCTTTCCTCCTTTGCACTGTATTTCTCTTCATTTTCATGCAGTTTGTCACAGGATTCCCTAGTTACCTGCCTGAGTGGTAGTTGTTTAGTGTTCCCAACACACACCCTCGCCTCAAAAGCTTCTGTGGAATTCACATGGCATCTGTTTGTCCGTCTGTCTGTCTGTCCGTCTCCTTCTCTCTCTCTCTCTCTCTCTCTCTCTCTCTCTCTCTCTCTCTCTCTCTCTCTCTCTCTCTCTCTCTCTCTCTCTCTCTCTCTCTCCTTTTTTTCTTTTTTCCTCCTCCCCTTACACCTCCCACATTTCCTTGCTCCACTCATAATCTGAACCTTTTACAGGACTGGGAACACAAGGTCTGTGCAGTTTCTGGCATTTCACCAGGGGCTTATTAGGATTTCCTTGGCCATCGTTTTTGGACTTCATTGGCATTTTGAAGGGAAATCATTCGCCAGAAGTGTGTGGACATTCAACTGCGAGCGAAACCACATGCATCCGGTAAGATCCTGTCGGCACCAGGGAGTGATAACCAGGCGAGCAGGAAAAGAGATGAGCAAATTGATCGTCTGGCATCACCTGGGATCTTGTGAGCAAATCCTGTACGGATGTACATGTATCACCGCCGAGTCACAGTGCATATGCAATCAAGGACCATTAGTATTACCACATAGCATCCCCACGACTAGACTGTCCACAAAGGCATCAGTAGCACCAAGAGTACTGGTATCACCTCAAGAGTGACGGCCCTTTCGTCGCGTTCGGAAAGAGAACAACGACCAAACAAAAATAATTACGTGCGCGTGCGGTCAGATCGTTGAGCGGAGAGCAGCTGCAAGTACAGCCTAGCCTACATCCAACGCCACTTCGCTATTATAATGATCATACTATTATCCCCAATAAATGTACACTCCTTTTATTTTTTTCAAAGGTGGTCAGACCTGCACTACTGTAGGGGACTGCACTAGGGAGACATGCACTTTTATTGTTTCTGAAAAGATTGTCTGCATGGGTTAGGTGGCAAACAACTCGTGATAATGATACTGTAAGGTTGTAAAATTTAATACACCCAACCATGGGAAGAATCAAAGTGCAAAGACGCAAAGATGATAAACGGGTAAGAAAAACGAAGTAAGGTAGACCCTAGTACCTGTACCCCAGTAATGCCCATCACATCATTCCGGCATCAGTACTATTTGTAGAGACGTGTCCTTTTATATTTTATAATATTCTACATTCCAATCTCCCTGGATGCCTCACCTGGTTGCCGTACTTTGTCCTCTGCGCCCACGGCATTGCCATTGCTGAGCGCAAGAACAACCACCACCACCGGTAGTAGGGCCAGATCTCGGAGTCGAATGCCTCCGTGCGGCAACGGCGGCCGCAACGCACGTTCGGAATATCTCATCGCCGAACCCACTGGGCTATGTGTGCTCCAGGACGGAATGCTGGCTCGATGAACCGACCTTGAACACGGGCGGAGAGGGTAATTGGCTCAAGGAGTTGAACCTCTTTACCATCAAGTGCGTACACGACACATGCACCCGTACCCGTCGTCGCACTTGAAAAAAAACGCCTGTTTACGAAAAATGTTGCAGCAACAATGCCAATATCCAGTATAGCTTGTTTGCACGTTACGGACACGCCGTGCGGTGCGGCTCTCCACAACTACCCGGGAAAGAATTCGACGGACAAAGGCGTCCTGCGAACCTAGCTGCTAGCTGCTTTGCTTTCTTCTCCAACTACATTGCTTGAAGTCAGGGGCTGATCATTGCGACCTCGTTTGTGGTGGTGCCAAGCCACGGACCACCGCCAGGCTGCCAACAGCACAGCCAGTCCAACTGCCACTGCTGATTGTTCATGTCCAAGCAATGTGCATACATGTACATAATGCACATGACTGCACTGCTGCTGTTTACAGCCATACAGGCCATGAGTTTGACTCACGTCCTGCCACAAAGCACACGACTGACCGTAAACCATGGTAAACGCTGAGGTGGCCCATCGAGATGGAGTCAACAAAGAAATCTGGCGATTTGAAAAGAGCTGACGAACACCCGAAGTGGTACTCTTGTCACGCCGAAACCAGCGAGTTTACGCCTCATTGAGCAGCATTTATCCGCTGCGCATTCATGATCGAAATCAATGTGTGCCCTGATTTTCGCCTGAAGATTACCAGACCACGCACTGGTTTCATGGAAAACTCTGTTTTCACGGCACAGCCACAGACACGTGATGGTCAGTCGGATTAGCGCCCCGACGTCCGTCCGAGTCAGCGGACAAACTGTCAAGCGGTTTCTTATCTCACCGCACAATCTTGCCAGGAGGACAGTGATTGACACAATCTGTCATTGTCTGCGCTCTGCTGTCAGGACGTGTATGACTCTATGAGCTACAGAGTACAGCAGTAGTACACAGTCAGTCAGTCATGCAAAGACTAGTACATGTACGAGCCAGGGTGGTCACACAAGGTCCTGGTGCCATCACTGGCATGACTGCCATCACTGGCACCAGGCCATGAGAGTCCAGACAGTGCTGTAGTCCGCTCTCCTGACCGCAAAACCAGCGGGATTTTTACTGTGAATTTTGCACAGCGCCATAGCGGTGCCAGCCTGTCAAAAACGGGCGGGAAAGCAGTGTATTTCAGCTGCGATGTAGCTCTAATATTTACTATTAACAGTATATTGTATCATTGTACTGTACAGTCAATGCCTGTGAATGCTTGTACAGACTACAGTGTACAATAATGAGTTGGCCAGCTCTCCTTATCTGCATATCACCGTCAGAACTGAGTGTTCACTCGCCGCTGAAAGCTGCTTCACGCTTCCCAGCAAACACAACAGACACAACAACGGGTATCATTCATTACCAGGCTGTTGGAAGGTTGCTGAGGCCCATGTCGAAGACTGGCTCCCTCCCCATGTCAAGAGTCAAGGCGCTTCTATCACTGGCATTGTTCCGGCTGGTGGGGGCCTGACTGGACTAGGTCACAGCTTCTAGCTGATAGTAAGATTATGGTCAATGATAACGATTCCTTGACAGAGGTGTTTAGTGCTGTTTACACCAGGGAGTGTCCAGGCCTCCACGCAGCGCTCATAGCAACCATCCGTTGTGTTTGAAATAGTGCCCATCTCATCAGGATATGGAGAGCAGCAGCAAAACACAATGGACGACACTATGCGTTTAGCATGTACTTCTACAAGTATTGCAGGTGCCACAGTCTACAGGGTGTGTACTGATAACATGCAGGGTATTCTACCCACCTAGTGTCTCGGAATCGAGAAGACTGTGAAAGAGGAAGACTGGGAGAGAGAGAGA